ACCAAGGGGTCGGAAAGGAGGGAGATGGAGAGAAACGCACACACGCGGACCCATAACGCTACATTAATTGATAATTGTTTTGTGCTCAAAAGAAATTAAACAAGTACGAACGCAACTCAGGCGCCCACACACACACAAACACACACACACACACACATACACATAGACATGGATGCACGCGTCATTACGCTGGCAATGTAAAACAACAACGACGAGAACGACAGCGACGACGACGACGACTACATCGACATTCAGCCAAGCATTCACCTCTAACCACAATCACAATCACACACATATACACCCATACCCATACCCACGAGCACACACGCACCCACACACTCATCCACTCACACACACACACACACACACACACATACATTTATACATAAATAGATGCCAAGCAGTGCGTCCGCCCTCTTTGCCACTCTATTTGTACGCTCATTTGCTACCGCTACTATTTACTCTTCTTTTTTTCTATTTTTTGGATACTTTTTTTCATTAACTTTTTGCTCTGCTTGTTTTGAACATGTTGTACACCGTACGCCCCATCTCCCAACCTCCGCGCACATTCCTAACTTAATTGAACGATTAGTTTTTGTACGTGGCCACGCCCCATACCCCCCACAACCCCTCTCCCAGCGTTCCTTCGTCCCTACCTTCCCCCGTCCCTCCATGCGTCCATAAGGCACCTGCCCGCCACGTCACTATTTAATTTTATCTCTGTTTCTATTTTCGTTTTCGTTAGTTACAAACTACAGCGATTTTCCACCGACGCTGGCGTCAATGTTGACGTCGACGTCGACGTCGGCATTGGCATTGCTATTTCCTTTCTTTTAAGCTCGCTTTTCGACTCGTTTGCTCGCTTCGAAGCGGCAACAACAACTAAAAGTCAAATGGCAGAGCCGTAAACAGTCAAAAGGCCACACACACCAACAACAACAACAAGTATTAGTAATGACGTCCAAAAAAGCAAAAACAAAAGAGCTGCTGGCTGTGTGGAAAGGGGCGTAATACTTCGAACGGGGCGTGGGCGAGTACGTATAGTTAAAAGCGCACAATAAATAAACAAAACAAGGCACAAAGGCATAAAACGACACACACACACACACACATACAGGAGGGAGTAGCGGTACTGCCACGCCCATGCCACGCCAGCCCACGTGGCCAAACAAAATGAAACGCCCATAAAGGACAAACAGCACACGCTCTGCCAAAGCGCACTCCTCCTCCTCCCCCTCCTGCAAGATGGCAGATGCCGGTGAGGGGGGAGGGGAGTGGAGGAGGCGTCAATTTGAAGTGTGTGACAGCGAGAAGGGAGGAGCGGGGAGCAGGCGGCGGCTAGTCAACAACCAGCATTAAACAGCATCAACATATAATTTGAAGCAACACCGTCATCGCTATCGTCGCATCTTCGCCCCCCCCCCCCCTCCCTCCTTCCCGCACTCCCTCTCGTTCTCCGTCTCTCCCTCTCTCTCTCTCTCTCTCTCTTGCCGCTCTACTCTCAGTAACAACAGAAAACAACAGCACATTCGAGACTGAGAAGGACATCGCCACTGCCTTTCCCAGCCGCGTGGTAACTGTTGATAATGATGATGAAGATGCTGCCGCAAAGCAAACACTAAGGCACAGTGACACACACTATGGGGCACAGTGGTTCAACAGCACGAATCGTGGCGCTCAATAAAAATTTAAAAAAAAGCAAGACAACTCTCCAGTAATGGGTATTCGTTTAACTATCCTTGAGAAGGGCTATTCTGTGCTTCTCTAAGGAAGCAGGTGGCGGATTGATTCGTGAAATCGGAGCCAGGCATGTTCAAAAACGTGCTCGGAAATCAGGCCTATCTAGGCATTTGAGGAATTGCCCACTCTGTTGTAAAAAAGAATTATTAATCAAAATCTTGCTGACTTAACCCAACTAGATTTCATTTTACATTTCTACAAAAACACTTTGAAAACATGAGCATCTCGCGTTCCCAAATTCAAATTTGACGAAATCGATTTAATAAAAAGTTCCCTATTTCACAAATTGCGTGAATTTATGGAAACAATTCCAGCTCCCATGTTGTACAAGTAAAATTCCACCATACCTAAGCACACTGGAGTGAAATGATTTCGAAACAATTTTTTGTATACAACCGACACGTATGCCAAATCGATGCCCAAGACGCAAACGGAAGCAGGCCTGATTATGTTTCTTTTTTTTCGCCGCACTTCGTGAAACTAGAAATTCTACATAAACAATAGACCCTCATAATTAAATCATCTAAATGCAAATCTACCTTTTAAGCTGCGACAGCTAAATTTAAACTTAATTTTTTTAGAAATACTGTACAAGTATAGGCTTAAAATGTAAGTATGTTAAGTATTCTTCTCGAAGATGAGCACGATTAGTTGAAACGAAAAATGGTAGCAATCTAAATCCTAACTTCATAACGAAGAAATGACCAATGGTTGATCAAGTTTAGGATCCAAGATTACGACAGAGGCTGATAATGGTGGGTAGATTGTTCACAAAAGCAGAAAGCAAATAAAGCTTGAATAAAAAGAACCATCAAGCAGCCATAACGAGTTGTCAAAAATATATTAAGATGTGCATTCGAAATATTAATTTGTATTCCAATCTTAGCTCAATATATTTATGTATATTTTTGCAATAACAAGCATTTAAGCGACATCTCAAATTTCTTAAAAACTTGGCTTGAGCTACAATTGAATTTTAAAAATAATTCACTTTAGTGCGCTCTTCCCGGTGTTTCTCAGGGGGGAGGCTCTTAAGAAAAATCTTTGAAAAAATAAAATTTTAAAATTCCTGCTGCATTTAGGATATCTGCTTTCAAAGGATGTGCCCTTTCCCTCTGCTGCTGGCTGAGGTCAAGCCAAAAGCCTCTTGGATGGAGTCGTGTTCCATTCTGCTGGATTTCATGCCACGGTTCCCCTGTTCCACATGTGCCATCGCTGTCGTGCCAGTCCCAATTCCCGTCGCCGTTTACGCACACGCGCGTGCCGTGGCTTCTCAGGAATGAGGACAGGATTGTGGAATGGCAGGAAGGCAGGAACAGCAGACAACGACAGACTGTGTTAATGTTGTCGCATGTGTGTTACTACTGTATGTGAGTGTGTGTGTGTGTGTGCGAGTAAGTGTGTGTATACAAACACACGCGGTAATTAATTTTATTTAATTTTCGACGACAATAAAAGCGACAACAACACAACAACAGCAACAACAAGGGCTGCCAAAGGCATCAGCATCAGCATCTAGGAAAGGTGGATGGAAGGGGGCGGAGGGGGGGCGACATGCCAAAGCCAAGTACAGAATGAAGGGAAACTAAAGCCAAAGTGCGCGTCAGTGTCACAGGAAAAAACAAGTTAACAAAACGACAACAATACAGCTGCGGCGGCAGCAACAAAAACAAAAAAGGCCAAAAACCAAAAAAGAAGATGGACGGAGGAAAAAGGCATGAGAAAGTGCGAGGAAGAAAAGTAGGCAGCTAAATGGCCGCGGTCAGTGGCAGGACAATGCAAGAGTGAACAGAAAAAAGTAAAAAGAGAATGACAAGGAATGGAAAGGCGAGTGAATGGTGGTCACATAATTATCAACCACATCACAGACAGACAAGGATGCAGACGCAGACGCTTTTGATAATCAGCACACGCATTCGAGCGCCAAAAGGAGCCACAGAAGGAGCTGGCGGGGCTGGCGGAAGAGCAATGGAGCTGTCATAAAGCCGCATAGAGTGGCAAAATTGGCGAAACGAAACGAAACGAAGTAAAAATAAAACAGTACGGTCATGAAATGAGCAAAAAAAAAAAAAGAAAAAAAAACAAGTTTAACTTAATTGTCAACATTGTGAGGCAGCGAACGGCGAACAGCGAGAATCGAGCATCGCGAGCGGAAGCGAAGCAGACAGTAAAAAGACGCATGAAAGTGGCGAAAAGAAGTTGGAAGCGACAACGGAAGCATAAAGTAACAGTACTAATGATGGAGCGCAAGAGACCATCAAAGCCAGACCCATGCCCAGAATTCACGGCAGGAACAAAACAAAAAGCTGAGAGTGCCAAATAAAATATATGTACAAGTATGTATATGTAATAAATAAATACATATGTACATTCATACACATATAAATATATATTTATGTACATATTACATTAAATCTTCAGTTCTCTTCAATCTAGTTCAAATCAATCTGAAATGCAGGAAAGAGAAAAAATGTAGTGCACCCACTGGATATAACCATGAGTATTACGTGGCTTCTTTACAAACGCGTTCATAGAGCCATGGACCTGACAAGTCTATCCTGTAAAAACTTTCGACTTTACATTTACAAAAAGCTTACCAAATCCGACACTATTGCGAAGGTGGGAAAACGAGAGTCTAATCTGCAACAGTTTGTCCTGACTGAGTGACTGGTGATTGGTGATCAACGCACAGCCCAAACGATTAAAGCTTGGAAGCTGAAATTTTTGAAAATTCGTGCTCCATAGGGGGGAAAACAGACTCCAAAGTTTGTATAAAAATTCTGTATTAGATTGTTTACTGTAAAAAATTCAAAAAAAAAAAACTGCATACTTGCGTTTTGAAATTTTTCTGGCCTGAACTATGGGGGATTTCTTGTAAACAAATTTTTGGGGCACACGCTCCAAAGTTTGTTTGAAAAATCTTCATTTTTCACAGATCTTTTTAAATTTGACTCGAGCATTGAATTAATTGCTTATTGCTGGTGTTTTCTTAAGTCACACACTCGTGAAATGTCATTTAAATACCTACGATAACAATACTGGGGGCGCGTTTCTTGAATTGGCATCCCCAAAGCTGTCGCTTAATAGCCGCTTAGCAACACTGGTCAGGCCAATAACCCGTTTTGCAACTCTCTTTTCTCTTGGAAAATCTGCTGAGTAAGTATGGTCATAAAACTTCTGTTCATAGAACATCTTCTTTCTAAACACATTTTCAACAGATTTTTGCTTTTTTACTGTCCTTTGCATTGACCGGACTAGAAATGTTCGCACTATTTGAGCGCCATCCATTATTGGCGGCGTTCACAATTGGGGTCTGCACGGTGCTCGCCTCAGAAATAATTTGGAGCGCCTTCCATCATGTGCGCAACCGTAAGCGGCGCGCTGATGAAGATGTGGTTGAGGACGACGACAAGTTCGAGGAGAACGATACGAATGCGGCTGCGCATGCGCTGAACTTTGAGTTTACGAATATGATTGACAACAATTTTGTTGCTGCGGCCGAAGACAAAGCAGATATTGAGAATGAAGATGAGAACGAGGCACAGGTTGAAGGTATTGTTGAAATTGGAGAAGCAAACAAATTCGAGATCGAGAATGTGGCCAGTTTCAAGATCGAAGATTTGTTTGAAGATGAGGACGACGACATGATTGAGTTTGAAAATGCAATCCCATTCAATATAGAGGACGAGTTTCGGGACAAAATAAAGCTCGACATAATCAAGATTGAAGACGAGTTCGGGGCTAAAGACGCTGACAAAATCAAGATCGAAGATGTGGAGGAGGACCAGTTCACGATTGAGGATGTTGGGGCGGACTATTCAGATAGTGATGATATGGTTGCCGGCGAGGCTGATGCCAATGCTGACGATTCCGTCGACGAATCACTGTCGCCTATTGGAGACCCCAACTCGATACTCCCCATACGCAGCATGAAATACATTACGATGCTATTGGATCTGGCCGTATATAGCATCGACATTACCATGTGTTCGATCTCGTCTCTGTTGCTGATGGAGGCCCTCAAGCGGGCGGTGGACCGTGGGGTGATTGTTCGCATCATCAGCAGCCACAACATGATTAATATCGTTAAAGCAAAGGCTTGGTATCCCGTTAACGTTCGCATACCCTTTCGCGGTCCGCTCTTGACATTCAAAACGAAGCACACATTCTGTATCGTTGATGGGGTGAAGCGCGTGGAGGAAATTATGGCCGCAAGCGGCTACCAATTGAAGTGGAAACCTTTTCGCAGCGTCTTCATTGTCGGCACCTTCAATTGGACCCGGGCCTGCAACTGCTCCATTACCTATGACAAGGTTCTAATAACGCCCCTCTATGACGAATACGAGCGCATGTGGAAGAATTGTAAGATGATTCGCAATTTATATAATAAAAGTAAATAATGGAAACGTGTACATATGTAGCAGCTATTGCTCCAATTCTTTTTAACGATTGCTCGGCTCAAGCCGACAATGGAACTTAATTGTGCACCACCTTGCTCTGGCTCTGGCCGTAGCCCCTTCTCTGAGCCACAGCAGTGGGTGCGAAGGTACAGTCGCAACTTGGCGCTTTAGCTGTCATATTTAAGCTGTCTAACTTTTCCAGAAGAAGTCGGGGAGGCGTTTACAGCAGCTGTCATGCAGTCTTAACCCTTTAAATGCTGCGCGTCCAACACAAGTCTGATAAATACAATTTTATGCCACACCATGCCACTTAAAACAAATAACTTGCAACGAATAAAAATAAAAAAATAAATATAAAAAAATAGCAGAAAAAAGGAGAGCAGAAAAGGAAGAAAAAAAACTGCGTGCACGCGCGCTCTTCACTAATGAGACTCTAAACAACACCCAACACAGTACACCCCCCCCCCCCTCCCTTCCTTTCCCACTCTTCACAGGCCACTTGTCGTCGCAGCGAGACACATGCCAACACGTTTTCAGGACCCACCGGCATACCAGCTTCCCCCCACCCCCTTGTCCTCTTTTAGCCACACCCTGTCCCAAAATGTGTAGTCACAGTGAAGGTGAAGGGGTAGTGGAGGGCTGGCTAAAAGGCATTGCTAGAGCTCAACAAGCGCGTCTGCTGTCGCGCATAACGGTAATAAAATTTAAAAGTGTGATTATTTCCATGCATAAAACACACACAAACGTACAAAAACAAACCAAACCAAACAGAACCAAATGCTCAAAAACGTTCAACAATAACAAAAGCTAGACGTGCACAAAGGCTTAAGGACTAAAGACAAACGCCCCAGCCAGAGTGTGCGCTTGATAATGGCCTGTTGTTCCTGTTGTTGTTGTTCTTGTTCTTGTTCTTGTTCTCATTGTAGTTAGCTGCCCTTTATCGCCTAGTTGTTGTTGTGGTTGCTGCTGTTGTCGTTGATGATGATGACAGTTTAGTTGGCCAAACAAAAGGTAATTGCAACATATTTAATATGGCATCAAAAGGCATCTAACACATTTTTGGCATTTCAAATGCCAATCTCGGTCTTACAAATTTGTGAGTGAGGCGCGCTTTTGGCCAAACGCAGGCGCCTCACTCATAGTTTGTAGACTGGAAGGCAGTGCGTGGGCGGTAAATTTAAATTGAAATCAACTTGCGCTCGGTGCTGCCACCTAGTCATTTTAAGTAAGCGAAATGGGCGCTCGCTATCGATAGCTTCCTTCCTTTTCTCACACTGCTAATATTTCACAGCAAACACGCTCTTCACGTTATCGAAGTGAGTTTTCGTTTATAAATACTGAACATCACGTTCAATATAACAATACACATACATTTAATTATTTATATTTACAACAAAGAAAGGAGTTTGAAAGCCAAACACTACAATGGGGGATGTTGATAAGTGGATTGAGATTGTGATGGAGTGCAAATATTTGCCAGAAAACGAATTGAAAAAACTCTGTGATATGGTCTGTGACATACTATTGGAGGAAACAAACATACAGCCAGTGAGCACGCCCGTCACCGTCTGTGGCGACATACACGGGCAGGTAAGCACCATTGCCTAATAACCCTCCTCTACATACACATGTGCATGTATGTATGTATGTACATTTATCTCAATATACATGTGAACGTGTCTGTTTTTTGCAGTTCTACGATCTGGAGCAACTGTTCCGAACTGGTGGTCAGGTGCCTGACACCAATTACATATTCATGGGCGACTTTGTGGATCGCGGCTACTACAGTCTGGAGACATTCACCCGTCTGCTGACCCTAAAGGCTCGCTACCCAAATCGAATCACGCTGCTGCGCGGCAACCACGAGTCTAGACAAATAACAAAGGTCTACGGCTTCTTCGATGAGTGCTTCAGCAAGTATGGCAATGCGAATGGTTGGAAATACTGCTGTAAAGTTTTCGATCTGCTGACAATTGCTGCAGTAAGAGCCTTGCACTTTCATATAGCTATATATATATATGTATGTATATACATACTACCTTGCTCCTAATAGATCATTGATGAGGAGGTGCTATGCGTGCACGGCGGCCTCAGCCCTGAGATTATTACTTTAGATCAAATACGCACAATCGAACGCAATGGCGAGATACCCTACAAGGGTGCCTTCTGTGATCTAGTCTGGTCCGATCCCGAGGATATGGAATACTGGTGAGCGAAGAAATAAAACAAATGTTTGACAACGTACATTAAAACAATATATTGCAGGGGACAGAGTCCACGTGGAGCTGGCTGGCTATTCGGCCATAATGTGACCAAAGATTTTATGACCATCAATAATCTGGATCTGATATGTCGTGCCCACCAGCTGGTTAACGAAGGCATGAAATACATGTTCGATGGCAAACTGGTGACGGTTTGGTCAGCGCCCAACTATTGCTATCGGTGCGGAAATGTGGCGGCTATACTCAGCTTCGACACTGCGAAACAAAGGCAGACTAAAACGTTTCTGGCTGTGCCCGATTCGGAGCGCGTTATACCCAAACAGAATACGACACCGTATTTTCTGTAATTTGCCATCCAACTCCATCCATCGTTCAGATCAGCCAGCCAGCCAACCAGCCAGCGAGCCAGGCAGGCAGCACGTTAGCTAGCCAGCCAGTAAGCCAGCAAACACGTTAAGTTTGTAGTATTCTTCAGGTATTTGGTAGGTTTTGGATTTGGCTGCCTGTGCCTGTACTGCGCCGAGAAACCAATTGGAACTCATACTGAAGAGCCCCAATCGACTGAGCAACAACCGTTCCAACCAAGCCATCACCCTCCTCAATAGATGCTTACACTTTAAACAACATTTATGCGAGGCTCAAGAGGGCAATCCTCAAACTTAAGTATTCCAAGCTATGAGGACTCACAATGCTCAGGAGCTTCGCCTATAAATGTAAACACACACACAGATTGTTAAACTTTAACTTACAGTCCGACAGACAGACAGAGACAGATACATATCTATAAATAAGCTTCTTTTGTAATTTGCTCAAAAAAAAACAAGAAAAAAGATTTGTTCAACTTTGTTGTTTGTGCTCGGTAAAAAAATGAAGAAACGAACCTTGTATTTACTATAGACATTATTACTATTATGCATGCCTTAATTATTCAATATCAGTACTATTATTTATTTGTGAGAATCGATGAGATGATAGTTTGTACATTTTGTAATTAAATCAATGATGTGTGGCACAAAACGAAACAAAGTTTCCCGATCAAACAAACAGAAACTAAAAACAATAATAATAAGAAACGACATCTGTAAAATGTTATTTGTTATTCATTTAGTTTTATTGCGTGTAGCTTGTACCTGTTGGCGCTTTACTTATTGTTTAGTATCTGTGCTGCATTTAATCAAAGAAACAAATCTGCATTTGTCCACAACCGCCTATACCTTGCAAATATATTATATACTTATGTATGTGTATGTATATAGTACGTTTATTCGGCAGAGAGTAATGCCTTCTCGCTTGCACTCGCACATCCATATGTGGCTGTCATAAGCGTTAATTATTCTTTTCTGTTTAATTTAATTTACAAAGATAGCAAATGCGTCATGCTTTGGAAATTGCCCCTAAAATGATAACAACTGTTATAATAATGCGTAGGGTGAAGGATGAAGTATTTATTACTGAATGATACATTTTTCCGACTCGAAGGAAGCATCTTAATTATATTATAATAGATGCGATGAAATCATAGTGTAAATAGTTTTGAACTATAGAATGCTCAAGCTTAAAGCTTTTGATTTGAGGGAATCTTCTCAGACTCGAAGTATTTTACATAATTTTTTTGAAATCGTTTTCGTGGTCTTCATGTCCGTCATTGCAAAACCTTAGGCAACTCCCCATACCTGTATCCAGCCGGAAAATTTGTAATATCCGTTGTTTTGAAGGACGTATTAGTTTTATTGTCCAATTTGTTTCAAATCGGATCACCAAATCAAATGCTAACCCAAGAAGCATTGAAAGGTCTCCATCTTTGTTGCCATGCTGCCAAATATCGAAATGCAGCGATAAGCAGCGCTCTTTCAGCTTGTGAGTCATGACCCAATCATTTAGATAGGAAAAAAACAATTCGCCAAATTCCGAGATAAAATTGAAACCAAATGGAACTTCCCGGAGTATCAAACGTTACAATCTTCGCTTAAATACTTTTTATTTTACAATTTTCTTTCAATTAGTCGTTACACATTTTACGCTTCCAGTATTCACTCGTAAATACACGTCTAACCTCGCCATGCGACAATCATTGTTGAAACTTTTATTTGGTACAACGAATCGATATAACTGCCAGACTCTTCTGCCTTAACATTTCTTCAATATATTACAAATATCCTATCGCGGGAATAAAAAGTAATAATATATCGTGTTTATTGCTAAACGAAAACAACATAACGGGATTTTTTTGTGGGGGGAGGTTGTGTGCATTAATTTTAAAAATAATATTTTGTATACGTATTATTATTAATTTCATGGCACCCGGCCATTTAAAAAAAACGCAACAATTTTTCAAAAAAAAATCAATAGTCATAACATTTTATATATGTATGTATATATGTGTGTAGAAAACAACAACAACAAGAAAGGAAAACAAAATGTTTAACAATTATTTAATGCAAATTAAAAGTTGGTAAAAATTGCACGTATTGTGAAAAGAATTTGTCAAATTTGTAAATCTAATTTAGGAAATAAATACGGAAATAATCATATGTAAAGTCTATCAAAAAAATTGAAAATTTGTGTTACCACAGCAAAAATGATTTCGTATTATTTCGCTTGTTGTTGTTGTCATTGACGTCATGCCCTTAAGGTGTTTTTTGTTTTGTTTTTGTTTTCTTGTTGTTGGCTTGTTTGGTTTCTCATTTCATTTCAATCAGGTTACAGCTTTGTGGTAGTCGTGTTCGCTGCCGCCTTTAACCTCCTCCCCGGTGTAGCTTTCTTCGTGCTTGAGCCTGAGCTTCATTCTCTTCTCTTCAGTTCCATTCATTCGTCGTGTCATTTAAACTATACACCTTAATTAAAGCTTCCTAGTTCTCTTCCTAATCATTGCTCCAGCTCCGACTACTGAGGCGCTATGTAATTATGCTCAAAGATGTCCAGTTCGTTCTGAATATAGTTGGCCTTGTTGCGGAGGAGCTTCAGTTGCTTCTGATTGGACTCGAGCACCATCAGCTGGGCCGCGATTGTCTTCAGTTCCTCGTTCATGTCGGTGGTCGCGGTGTCCACTGTGCGGCACAGGCGGGCGAAAGTGCTGGAGAGCTCCCTGTGAATGAACGACGGTTCAAATATGGGAAAGTCTATCCAAATTTTAGTATGGGGAAGGTCTCTACTTACTGCTGCACCTGGTGGCTGCAGTTGGCCGACGTAAGATCGACAATCATCTTCAGTTTCTTGGTGGCATGATGCACATACTGCCGCTTGAAGGTGCGCTCCTTGGCCGAATTGGTCCACGAGAGACGCTCGTACAGATAGATACAGCCGTAGAGGGCCCCAATGCCGACCAGTACCCGCCAACCAATGGTTTTCAGCATCTGCAAGTGTTTGGTTTTCAGCACATAGCGATTCAATAGCACCTACTTGAGTAAGGATCAGAGACAGCGTCGCGTGTCAGCGATCTTCGACTACTTACAATGCCTGCAACGACTAGACCTCCCACCGTTCCCTGCGAGCCAATCGAGGACATCGCGAATCGGGAAATCAGCGACAAGTGCTCGGGAGTGATGCCTGCAACCACCGGTGTGGACAGCAAACAAACAGGAGTCGCCTCATTATTCACAGGCGTCGATGCGGGCGTAACGCTCTGTTGCTGCAAAGGGAAATAGTATTGGAAGAATAAGTATGTCTTGCACATCGATGGAAGTATACATATATAGAGATGGCCAAAGGGCCGGGACAATAAAGATACGCAGCCTCCTTCTTCTACAAAATTCCGCTGTAAAGTGAACTATGAAGGTATTAGTTTCCAAGTAAGAAATGCGCCATTGATTGATCCAAGGAACATATATTCGTATTTCATAGATATTTCATTTCCTCCTCCATGCGTTATATATTTTATTGAATTGGTTCACTATTTCTGTAGATAACCCCTAAGTCTATAATGCTTAAGTGCTATCTAAACCATCCTCCCATATGAATATATAGGTCTTATAAACAATAAATAAACATTTTTCTAGGATATTTCAATAAGCAAATCAGCTTCACTAAATGTGAGTTCAGCACCGATTGTTCCTATGGCAAGCAATATAACAGACTGGGATAATAAATGGTTTTAAATAAACTTGATCTGCATATAGATAAGACGAGTCTTTGTGGCCAATTTGGCGCCTATTACTGGTTACGCTTCAAAAGAGTTAAGGGATCATACAGACGGACAAATGGGTGTAATTCACGATACATGCTATTATATTTGTAGGAGAATATACTAAAGTTGACCAAAATAAACATGGATGGTCCTCTGATGTGAGCAGAAAATTGAGAACAAAAAACATCTGTAGTTTATACTTCTTACGCTGACCAGCAAATTAATAATGCAAACAGAATACCTATAAAGTGTGTCCTAAATATTTGACTTTGAGCCATTGGGGGAATAGTTTAGGAGATCTTTAAGCCCTAAAGCTATGTTTTAATTCAGGTGCAGATCCTAGCTCTTCTTGATGGAAAATTAAAATATTATAATGACATTTTTTAATGCTAAAAGGAAACTTAATCTCATTTAGAGCTGGATGTGCTACTCACCCCAATACTGCTCTGGCGATTGAGCAAAGCGGCCGGCGCATGCTTTTTGCTGCGCTCGCGCACTTTGCCCGTGAACCGCTGAATCATGGCCGCAATGCCCCAACTGAACTTGAACTCCAGGTCCTCCTGGAAGTCGGCACACAAGTTCTGACAGTTCAGGGAGTAGAGCATTTCGAAGGGTTGGGTGCGAACGGCCAGTTTTGTGCTGCTCGCGAGCAACTGTTCGTTGGGAACCAACGCATGCATGCGATCGGTCATCTCGTTCTGGGCCGATTCAACGTTCATAGCCAGGGCCATGGAGAGGCGGGCACGCAAATTGCTGCCGAGACCGCTCTCGACATGGGCGTTCAATTCCTTTTTGTAGATGTTGAGCACCAGACGTTCGGGATGGAAGGGCATGTTGAACTCATCGATAAGCACGCCCAGACGCCATATTTCCTCGTTGAGGGCCTTGGAGACCTTCTCCTCAACCTCCTCGACCATGTTGTGTATCTTCATTTTCATTTCACGGGTCACCTGCATCATTTGGGTCTCAGTGCCTTGGATGCGTTCAGTGAGCAAATTCTTTTGATCCTGCTTTAGATTGCGAAAGATGGTGATGCGCTCATAGATGTTGTCTAGCATGGAGCGCATGTCGCCGGAAACGCTCTTACCACGCGAGCTGTGCTGTTGGAACTTGGTCTTAACGGCGCTCTGTGAGATGCATTCCTCAAACTTGCGCTCGAAGTCCTGAAACTCGAAGTATCGTATTTGGAAGCCGTCGGCTATAGCCCCCAAATGCGGTGGATTTCCCTTAGCCTCCTCTAGGCGAGCCTGTAGGGTCTCGCGTGCCGAAACGAAGAATACACGCTCCGCAGCCTCCTTCTCATTGCTCACCTTTAGCTCCTTGGTGAGGAAATCGATGCAGCGCTCAGTGTGTTGTGATTTTACCTGCGAGTGTCCCAATGTCAGTGTGAGAGTGAGAGGGATTTCCGATTAAGTAGGGATAATAAATTAGGCAAAAAATGCAATTGTTTTAGCATTTCTATTGGGTATTGCATGGTAACAATAAAGCTCGATGGAAAGGCCAAATCAAAAGGGATTAAAACAGAGCTGGGACAACATAAAAATGCTCGGTGGTTTGGCAACTGTTGTGGGTTTCTATTTCATAGCCTTGCAGCTGCAATTCATACGTTTTCAATCGGGGTCATTAATATATTTCTACTATTTTGTTATTTTGAATTTATAAAATCTGTTTTCTCTGTGCCCTTTTCTCGCAATACTATACGAGGCAGCTAATTAAAGCTGAAAGGCTGAAGCATCTGTTGCTAGCCCTTAGAGCTTAACACTTTCTAAAACGAGAAAGTAAACTCTTCCAATGGTTTTCTGCATTTGACAGCCCTTCAGCAACAGGAGAAATAGTAATACCTTGTTCTTAAATAAGGCTTTGCGATTCATTTTAAATTATTATCTTTGAAGTGTTTGCAGATTTAGCCAATAATTCGAAACAATTTCATATAATCTCAGATAGTTACTTATGAGCACTACTTTCCATGGAAATCATTTGAGTATAATCGAACTTGAATACGTAGGGCCACCCTCTATAAAGTTCTAGATTTAGTTTCTTCAATATACAAGTATAGTATGTGTTATGAATATTATTGTAGAGAGTAGCTCATTAAATTCTATGCAGCTAATAGCCACCAAGCTAAGTTGCAAGGATATGAATGGTTCGGCATGCCGAAGTTTTTGGACTATTTGGCGTTGTTTTCTGGATTTTACCTTTGCCAGCAGCTCCTGGCGTTGTAGGGAGAATTGTTGAAAGTTGTCGAGCAACGATTAAACAAAGTTGTGAAATATACAGAGATAATTATACACAGGCACATACACGCGCGCACAAATATTGACTAACCGCCTTACGTTAGGTTGTAATAAAATGACGCAATTAGCGCTCTATGGGGAGACACAGGGCGGATAGAGGAATGTTATTGTACTACTTACCGACTCTTGAAACTCTGGCTCATTGGCCGATGCATCCCAGCGATTGTTCAGTATGAAAATGTTGGGCTTGGACAGCTTTTGGGACACAGTGTGAAAGAATTGCTTCTCAGCGCGCGTCATGGTGGACTCCGCATTGAGAACCAGCACAAAGACATCCGCATTCAAGCAATGATTGTCAATCCAATCATCCAGATTGGCGGACACATCGACACCCGGAGAGTCCACAAAGACGACATCGTCACGTAGCAGGCTGCAACGCTCGCGTGGCCAAAATATGCGCACCAGACTGCTCTCTGACAGCTTCTCCTGACACAATGCATTGGCCAGCTGCTTGATGTTCTACAGGAGGCAAGATATAGATATAGTAGTCGATCTGATTGCTTAATTGGTTTGCTTACCACAACGTTGAGCTTCTCATCGGAGCCCTCCTTCATCAAATATGCCTCACCGCCGTCGTTGCCCTCCACTTGGCAGAAACAATTGGTCGTATGGCCAATGCCACTGGGTAGGATTTTCTCACGCAACATCGCGTTGATCACCGAACTCTTGCCATTGGAGGTGCGTCCAAAAAAGGCCACCTTCATGTGATCCCGCTGCAGGACTTCGCGTATGGCCGCCACCTTATACACATAGCTCTCGAAGAGCTCACGCTCTGCCTTGTCCACAATTTCGGCATCGGAATGCAGGGCTGCGAGAAATGCAATTTCAATCAGTTAAGAGATAAATACTTGTATGGAATGGGAGCGACACTCACCATTTATGAACTGCGTCGTCTCGTGGACATATTCCTCGATCTCGCCGTAAATATCGTTGATCTTCTTTTTGGCCCGCACGAATACCTGCAGTGGCGATTTTTCGTTTTGTTGGTACATGCGGTTTTCAGTTAGCAATGCATTCGAATTGTAGTTGGTCGATGACGACGATGACGGCGTTAACGATGTGGCCGATGATTGCGTTTGGAGCGACAAATTGTGGCGCGCATCGTCAACGGTGTCCGTGTTATTGTCGTTGTTGCCGCCGCCGGCGTTGCCCGTAACCAGCGATATGGTGCGATTCAAATAGGCCGCCATTACGATTGCAAGCGCAGGTTGGATTCGTTATTGGTTTTTGTTATTGTCGTTGTTATTGAAGAGAAGAGAATTTTGATACAAAACAAAAAGTATGCAGCTAAAAGACAACGCAAGTTGTTTTTGAATTTGTTGCTAGCAATTGCATTTGCAGCACTGCCTTTTTGCTGATGGTATTATTATTGTTGTTGTGGTGGCTGTTGTTGTTGATGTTGTTCTGGTAGCTGTTGTTATAGTTGTGCTTTAAACCAAAAGGAACTATCAAATTATAAAGCTTGAAGGTGGTGCGCACTGGTTAGGGATTTAGGATTTGTTGAATTTTGGTTTATTGCTTGGTTTTTCTTGTTCAATTGCTTTGCCGAATAGAGTCTCAAAAATCAATGGCACAAAACTGAAAAGAAACGCAACACAACGAAATAAAAGATGACTTTAAAGGCGAAGTAAAATTAAATCATAATACCAATATTGTTAAACAAATTGTTACACACACTCGTCACCCATACACACACACACACACACTCTTGCAATCGACCGACATACTACATACTGAAATAAACTGCGCCGTTGCAGTCACACAAATACAAGCAGACAAGTCGGCCTGAATGAAAATATTATTTAGCAAATACCGAAAATTTTATAACAAATATCCTACATGTGTGTATGTATGTATTTGCGTGTGTGTTAATCGCAATCACACTCTGGGAATCTTTTATTGATAATATTCGCGTAGCCCCGCCTCACCCCCCACCGTTACAATAACAATATACATATGTATATACATACATATGTGTGTTAAACTAACCTGATTATTGCTTTCGCTCATTGTCCACTGTTTGTTTTATACCTTTTTCTGTGTGTGTTTGTGTTTTTATATTTCGTCTTCGTGCCAAGGCAGCAGAAAACACACACGGCGGATGCTGCTTCTGCTGTTAATTGTTTAACTGCTTATGAAACGCGTTCTAAATGCCAATCGCATGCACATCACCAACACCGGCTACCCAATAAATTGTCCTATTCTAAAACGTTCCGTTTAAATCTAATTTATTTTGACTATAAATGATGTAACAACGCGTTTAGAAAACTACTCGTCGTCTCCTCAGCATTGCAAACACAAACACAGGCAATGAAGCGGCTCGGCGATGCCACCTGGCATGCGCGCGTAATGTTGTGTAATCTTTTACCGCTAATATATTTGCAGTCCTGAGTCCCAAGCAACAATTACCTGTTAATCAGGTAAATTTATGCGATTTATACTTACTTGCAGTACTTGTCATCAGTTTGGAGCTATAAAAAACATGTACCTAGTTGAGTCTGACCAATGTGGCAACTTTAAATCGGCTGGCAACCATGTGTTCAGCTCTTTGACACTTGACAGATCAATCTGGCAAGCAGTGCACTGCTTGTTACTTAGTGCTACCCATCAAATATGAATGCGCTTTTAAATTCAAATACTTGACAGTTTTATTTGCTTTTCAATACACTTGCATTTAATCTTGCTTATAGAACATATATTTTGTATCAATGTTACGCTGCAGCCAAATTCAAACGAATCGCCGCTGATATTTGTCGTAGTCACATCGTAGCGTGGAGTGGGTGGGGTGTGGGCGGAGGACATACAAAAAACTAGTCTGTGTATTTTTATTGTTCTCTTTTTTTATTAATTTTTTTAAAGGTTTTTCGTTACACTTGTTTTGTATTGTAGTTTTTGTTTTTATCTTTACTTGTTTGCAATAAATTATATAAAATAACACAATATGTTTCCATTGTTTAAAGTAAAAAGAAAAAATTATAAAGGTAAACTAAACATAAAATGTAATCAAGTTACTATTTAGGCGGGGTGTTGTTTAGGATTTTGGTTAGTGTCGGCCTTTCAACGCACTCTCAACATAATTTTGGCTTAATGTGTAGTTAAGTAACAAAACAATATAGCAATTAGAGGTGGCAGTTGAGGAAAAAATGCTGTCGAACATAAAGATATAGAAATAGGCGCAAACAGTTTTTTGCATTTCACAAATTGAAATTTTCAACTGCTACATATACATATATATATTCTCATAGTGTATATATACATATATATATATAGGCTCTTATACAATTAATTAAGTGATTTTGTTAATTATTTCCTTCATTCGTTAATTACGTTTTATTTTACTACTAAAAATAAGTTTTCCCTTATTTCAACTTATTGTTTTGCTGTTGCAGTTGTTGGTTGTTTCTTGTTTGTTGCTGTTGTTGTTAATTATTGTGTGTTCTTTCCCTTTTTGGTTGTTCTACTCAATCAACGTCCCATCAACTCTCAACTCCAAACGTCCAACTTCAAAACTCCAAACTCCCTCTCAACTCTCAATATCATAAATAAAGTCATTTATTCGTATTTCATTTATCAAACATCTCCTCTTTCCTTCCTTCTTTCTTCCTCCTCCTCTGTTCACGATGTCGTCGTCATTTTCCTCATTTATTAAGTGCTACTGCTACATTGTTGCTTGTGGTTTTGCTTTGCTACATTTTTGTTGAACTTCCCTTTCACGCGCCCCCTCCCCTCTACTTCCACTTCCACATGCTCATGAAACCAGCGTCCTCGCACTGACTCCATCCATCCATCCATCCATCCATCGAACCATCCAGCCAGCCATAGAAGTCCCGCTTACTTCTGCACCATCTTCATGAGCATGTCGGTGGACAGGGACTTGGGACGCTCGATGGGCAGACCCAGGGCACGATCCCAGACAAGCGATGCCAAAACACCGAGCGCACGCGACACACCGAAGAGCACCGTGTAGTAATTCATCTCCTTCATTCCATAGTACTGGAGGAGCACACCAGAGTGGGCATCTACATTGGGCCAGGGGTTCTTCACCTTGCCGGTCTCAGTTAGAATTGGTGGCACCACCTTGTAGATCTTGGATACCAGCTGGAAGAGCTCGTCATCGGGCAGATGCTTGAGGGCGAACTCACGTTGGCAGGTGTAGCGTGGATCGGTCTTGCGAAGCACAGCATGACCATAGCCGGGCACCACCTAGATTGAGAGAATGGAGAAGATGAAAATATGCAAGTCGTTAGCAATACTGTTCTGAGCTTGTTTGTGAAAAAGAAGTTCTCATTGTTGGCAATTGAATTAAGTTAAATTAAATAAGAGAATCAAATTGTTGCTTACCTGTCCGGACTTCAGAGTCTTCCAGATGTAGTCCTTCAGCTGCTCCTCCGATGGGTTGTTGCCGGCCTCCTTCTGCAGTTTGCGCAGCCAGACCAACACCTCCTGATTGGCCAGACCGTGCAAAGGACCAGCCAAGCCATTCATACCGGCGGCAAACGAGAGGTAGGGATCGCTCAAGGCAGAGCCCACCAAATGCACGGTGTGGGCGGACACGTTGCCACCCTCGTGATCACTGTGGATGGTCAGATAGAGACGCATCAGCTCGGTGAACTGTGCATTGTCGTATCCCAGCATCTTGACGAAGTTGGCCGACCAATCCAGACTCGAGTCAATGGCACGCGATCCCTTGCCACCGCGGTAGGTATTGCAGTAGATGGTGGCCGCGACCACTGGCAGCTTGGCAATCAGATCCATGCTGTCCTCATAGACATACTCCCAGTATTTGGACTTGTGGACACCATCCGAGTACGCCTTTGCGAACTTGCTGTCGTGATTGAGAGCGGTGATTGCGGCAGCGAATTGGGACATGGGATGGAGGGTGGTGGGCATGTTGTTCAGCATTGTAACCACATGCTGGGGCAGGGCGGCGCGCTCAGCCCACTCGCGGGATAGCTGCTGGACTTGGGACTTGGTGGGGACCTCGCCGGTCAGAAGCAACCAGAAGAGGCCCTCGGGCAGTGGCTCGGCACCGCCATCGGCAGCGGGCAGCACCTTCTGGCATTCGGGAATGGAGAGGCCGCGGAAACGGATACCCTCATCAGCATCCAGCACAGAGGTCTCCGTGACGAGAGCCTTAATGCCACGCATGCCACCATACATCATGTCGATGGTGGTCTCACCCATTTTGGTGGATCCATGCTGTTTCCTAAAGTTCTTCACGCGCTCCTGCTCCTGAGGCACCTTGGCGGCCAGGACGTCGCGCAGGCTGCGACCATCGGCGGCAATCAGGCGTACATAGGAGCCAACATTGGGCAGTTTCTACAAAGACAACCAAATTGAAAGATATTGAATGCAAGCTTGTTGGAATTCATCAAATTCTTTTGAATCGTCTTTAGTTTCTCAAGATCTACACAAACAATGGCCCTTAATAATAATAATAAGAAGCAGAAGAAATTGAAATGAAGAGAGATGTTTCGAGATTCACTTTTATTTTCCACGGTTCCACACTTTCATAATCTCTGAATAAAATTTGTTGTAATTAAATGCAATGATTAGTTTTCGCAAAATTCGCAAAACTATTCGCCCAATTCCACTCATAAATGAAACAGTTTCTGAACATCAGGAACAGCTTTTTAGGAGTTCCTTTTAGGCAGTCTCTACTGCCAAACAACCACGGCTAATCTACTGATTGGCGGCCTTGTCTCACAACCACCTGCTCTATTTTTGGCTTTACTCGCATTTAGTATTGTTGCCATAACCGGCCTGCCAAATTCATCAATGAACTGTTTTGAGGCTCGTTCGAGTGGTTGGAGAACTCGAACCGAACCGGTTTGCACATAAATCGATATGCCAAGTCGCCGAAAAATATAAGTTAGTTAACCAAACAGAAAAACACTTGCAATTCAATTTAGAAACAACATCGCACCACGTTGCCTGCTCCAATATGCAGAAATCCAACGGCGCCACAAGTTCAGTTGGTTAATTGAATTTGCTGACCCACTAACAAGCCAACAGAAACAACAACAACAACAACAGCGGCCTCCACCACTGAGCAGAAATGACTGTACTGTCAATCAAATCAACGTCATACATAGTCCATGCCCGACGTTCCCCCCAACGGTTTATGTTTCTTATAGAGATAGGAAAGCTTCGCATATGACGAACTTGCACTAAAAATGCGATCTCATAATTGGATCAGATACGTCAGAACGAAATATTTACGTATTGTATCAAAAAAGAGCGGCTGTTGTATTAGGAAGTAATCTAAAATAAATAATTCTGGAATAGAATAGGGCATCTGAATTCCATTAAGAATCAATAAGCTGTCAAACAGTGAAGAGCTAGGTACGTACCTTGAAAACCTGGAGATAAAATGTATGTATGTGGTAGCTTTTTTTATCACATAAACCTTAACTCTGTAATGCATACTTGGAAGACGGAAAGCCGTAGTTACTATTAATTAATTTCCAAATCTGCAGCCATCAAATATTTCTATGTAATATTAAGTAGTATTTACTAGAATGACCATAAATTAACATACACACATATCTAAATGTGTACATATGTATGTATGTATATGTATACGGTGCCCGCCTCTATATACATACTTTACAGTATGTTATCAGCAGATGGATTGACTGCGTTGTTGTTACTGCTGCTACCGCCGTCTGGTCAGCTGCGTGCAATGTCAGGCCTTAGTGCCCCACAGACATACACATATGTACGTAGTTACATATACATATATGTATGTACATATATGTATGCACATATCAATGAACGTAATTTTACGCGTTTTGCGCTTTGAAGTACAGCTCAATGACAATGGCAGCCGTGAGTCGAAAGTCGCTGATAGCAGCGACAGTCCGATAGTAGCTCTGCCGCCGGCGCTACAGAGCCTTCACCTTGGCTTTGTCCACTGCTTCCTGCAGTTCAGGCTGTGCATGTCTGTGTTTGTGTGTTTGGGTTCGAACGTTTAGCGATTAACATTGACACGAATAACAGAGCTCAGATTACGCAAGGGAGAGGGCAGGGCTTCAGATAGAGAGTGGGCGTGAAATGTTCCGCGAACAACACGCAAGACGGCCGCGGCGTATTTAATTGTTCTGACATGGCATGGTCATAAAGTTGGCCAACCGTCTGAGGGTTAACATTGTTTTTCTTTCTCTAATTCTGAGCGATGAATGTTGCAAAAATATTTCCTGAATTGCTTGCTTGGGATTGCACGAAAAAAATTTGTTAACCATTTATTTATTTAAAAAAATAAGTGATTAAAATCAAAAACATACACATCAAATTCTCAGCACGACTGTTTAGCAATTTACATTGGGTAGTTAAGTACATAATGTAAACATTAGTACTGCCATTGGTAATATGTATGTATGTATCTGCATATGTACATATGTATATCATATGGCTCTTCAATATTTCTGTTGAACAATTCTCCAACAGACACTGACTAAGCTAATGGACATTCATAAAAGAGCAAAAGCAAAAAGTGGCACAAGTGAAAGAAATAACTAAAGTAGAAAATTGTGTATAAATGTATGTTCATATGTATGCACTGTGCGCATAAATTTGCACAAAATGCACATAAATAATCATTAGCAACAACTAAGAATGGGGCATAAGCGAAAAAAAAGTCTACACGTATTTACAACTACAACAACAAGACCAACTGTCCTTTTGTTGCCGCCGTCGTCTTTTCTTTGCTACTTTTTCTTCATCTACTCTGTAATATGAGTCGATAACCGCAAACATACAAACGACGTTTTGTCAATAACAACAATAACAACAACAGACGCAAACAGCAGGTGCACAAACCGCAACGGTAACTGTAGCAGGTGTCGACCGATCTTCCTCCTCCTCACCGCCCCATTTTAACAGACTACTGTTAATTAAGCTATCACTGCTTGGTTTGCGTCTTGGCTAATCATGTGCAAAATTTTGTACACAAATACAAATAACGAAAGACTTTGGCAAGAGCTTCGTCACATTTACGTAATGTATGGAAACGACGACACCAAGAGAGAGGCACGCACATTGCAACAACAACAATATCTGCTTGCTCTTATCTTATATATTGTGCCCCACTAACTACATACATATGTATGTACTTGTATGTATGTACATAATTGAAAATGTACATAAATACGTTTTGTATTTTTTATGTACTTTTATATGATCATGCGAATAAAATAATCACATTAATTGCGGTCTGTCTATATTTATATATTGTAATTGTTGTTGTTGTTGTTGTTATATTTGAAAGTGTGAAGCTCTTCAGTGTTTCTCAAGGTCCCCAAAAACTAAACTAATTAGACAGAGCATTCAACTGTCTCGCTCGCACTATCTCACGCGCTACTACTTATATAGACTGCGCATTTGGATTTTCTGCTTGTTGTCGTATTTTTTTCACTGAATATTCAAGGAAGCGTGTGTGCTTCATGCATAGGTCAAAAACATTCCACACATCCATTCACATTAACATATGTATTTATGTCTGATATGTACATATTCGTGTACATACATATATAGTACATATGTTCATATATTTGTATTGATCTATTGATGGAGTCTACAAGCTCGCTGATGTCAGAATATGAATTGTTGCGACCATATAGATAGACTTATTTATGTAACAATTTGTATTTTAAGTTCACAAGTTTTAACGGATGTTTCCAATATTGTTATTGAAAATATATATCTCTCTTGAATACCGTATAAGCAAGCCTGTTCACGATGACTTATTCGGTTTTATTTGTGAGACAAAATTGAAACAACTTTTGAAACCGAAGATCACAATCCGTTCCGAATTGAATGCATTTTGATTCCACCTAAGCTGCTCGAATTTAAAAACGGCTACAGAACAGTCCTATCTAAATCTCTACTGAATGACTTTATGGACTAGAATGTTTTTAGATCAAGTTTCCACCACTCCAAAGTATAGTCTGTTTTCAAAGAGTTGCTAGTATAGACATGCATCAATAATGATAGCTAAAGTGAACTTTTCATTTCTTATCAATTATCGCACAGAAAAGAAAACAATGAGTCCAGTGCTTGGCAACAGTCCCGATATCCCATACATACTAAGTATATATACGAGTACCATACAAATGTTTTCAATTATCAACCAGTCTACTCCACACGTGTTGAAAAAAGCGATGTTAAAACATCAGCCATTAATTCTCAAATGGTTAGCCTCTCCATATACTTAATAAGTCTGTTTTAACTCGAAATCCATTGTCAATTGCCAGTTGGCAATTGCATGACAGCAAAATTACAGACACTGCCATAAACTAGACGTTTTTACAACTGCAATGCATTAATAAAATATTTTATTTTTTTAAAGCAAATATAGTAAACACTCAAGCTCAAGCACAAATGCGAAATAAAGTCACAATGCGAGTGCGATTCCAAGTGCAGGCAACCTTAGACAGTTATATATATTTACTTTTTAATCGTTGCCAACACGCAGCCACAGCTTTTTGAAAAACTTCAGCAATAACGGAGCCTCGTCTGTATCTAAATGACACCAAAACATGTACAGCAATAATAAAAAAAAAACAGCAATTTGAAAACGCGTTTCGTGAGATGCCACAGCTAGGAAATGAATCGTACAAATGACCCGCCACAGTTACAAAAGCAACAGCAACAAGGTGAACGAGAATTGAGGCTCGTGGCTGGAAAGATATTTTATTTACCTTAGGAATTTCTTCAGAACATTACAAGATCCAGTTAAGCTTTACATCATTTAGAATACGATCCGAAAACAGTTCTACTGGTATATTTAAAATGCAATCGAATCAATCGAGTCAAAAACTGCATAAACGGTCAAATCTTTTCAGACTTTCATATGTAAGTTGGAAATTGGAAGTGAGTCCCTGAACCGCATAAAGCTTTGGAGAGTTTTAAGCACAGCTAATGTATATTGTCACACCTTAAATATAAATTATTTGAAAAACTGTGACACATCATCAACAGATGTATAATGAACTCACTGCAATAAACTACACTGCAATACAAAATGTATAACTGGAAGCACTTTGAAAATTGTATAATTTGGCAAATCTTTTAAGAAAATTTAATCAATTTTAATGTCGTACATTGAGATCAATAGTAATAGTAATAATGCAATATGTATGTATGTAGTAATATGTATCTTTTGTTGTTCGAAATCGGCCACAATATTAAACAGTTGTCAGCTGGGTTTTATTGTCTTAACATCCAATTTATCTAACTAAGCCTTTGTGCTTAATTCTAACTTGTATTTTTTGATGCATTGGAATAACATTAACATTGCAGCGCCAGCTTCGACTTCACTGTTAATTTTTATCTCACAACTCTCGCATTTTAGCTTAGTTTTGTAATCTCTCTTGTCGTTCTCTGCTGCCATTTGTCATTTGTCGCTTTCTTGTTGTTGTTGCTGTTACTACTGCTGATACGGACTTTTGCTTTGCGTGATGTTCTCAATTGTAACGTTAATTTTCTATTATTAAAAAACTTTCGTAATTGCTAAATAAGCCGTTGGCTACCAGACTAATGCACACACACACACACTCACACATACATTCATACGTAAAGATTAGGTGTGCGTGTGTGTATGTAATTAGCTTTCAATCTACACAACTATTTGCCGCGCTTTGTTCATTTTTTTTTTTTCAAGTTCACTTTTTGACATAAAAATGTACATTCTCTGTTGCTGTTTTTATATGCAATTTTTTTAAAAGTTCAATAAATGCCTTTAATTAACAGTTGCTTTGCATTTTTCTCTTTCATTGTAATAATAATGTTGTTCTGTTGGGGGCTTTTTTTCTTGATATAAAACAAATGCGCTGTTGGCCAAATGTAAACAGTCCTGTTGTCTGTGCCTGCATCTTGGCGTCATCAGTAATGCCAAAAGTATTTCAAGTGGCTGGCTGCTGTTGTCAAGCGTTGACAAGTTAAAGAGAACTACAGTAAGTGGAAATGCCGACGAAAAGGGGAGAAACACTGAAACAATATCTAATCCCAAGCTTACTCAGCAAAAGTCCACAGTCTACCGCCGCCATTTCTCTCATTCCCCTGTTCGCATCAGTGTTACAAACAAAATGGAATGTTAATTAACATCTGAATGCGTGCACTCATTGATGTTGACAGTGATTTCTGTTTGCATTTGCCAAATTCCAAATGTTAACAACCGAAGAGAGGTAAATCGTACTTAACAATCAATAAAATAAAAGAAGAAGAGAGCAAACGTCTTTCAGTGCGCGTGATCAGGGAACAATTTGTTTATCTGTTAGAAAAGATACGTTATTTGAATAGCTTTTACGTCAATGCTGACAAAGCTGCCGAATTCCGTGGCAAGGTTCGGAATCCCCCAAATGTGTTTGTACACATATACATACATATGTATTTCTGTATGTACATATGTACATACATACATATCTTTGAAGAGAGTGCATATTACGAGGCAATACTTGGAAGCGATACTACTGCAAAATGAGTTAAAGATTATAGCTTAGAGTGGGCACAATAAATATAATGAATGCAAGGGAGACATCTAACAATAATTGATTTTAAGGTAAAAGTTTTAGCAAATTGCAGCCATTACTCCCAATTTTAGAGAAACCTAAATTAGTAACTCTACTCTTTCTACTTTTCGTTTCATCGCACACAGAAAAACTACAGCTTGAACGGAGCTGCTAATTAGTTTGTTATTCGCATTTATTGCCAATCGTGGTGTCCCAATTGGCGACAAATCTGGGACATTTCTTTATGAATTTGTTTCGATTTTATGCCAACAGAAGGCGTTTTTGTAGTATACGTTTATTCAGATGTATGTAGCTAGAGTTCTGCTTTTACGATGTAATTAACACCTTCTACTACTCTACCTCTCCCTCCCCCTTTATAGGCAATGCATGCGCTCCCTGTTGATCATGTGTTTCAACGATTTAACAGAACGCGCTCGGTTTGTTATCAGCAATGGCTCTGGAAAATGTGTTGACGACATTGTTGGTTTCAGCATTTTTAAATGTGTGTATGTGTTTGTGTATGTGTGTGAGTGTGCGCGCGCGTTATGTCAACTTTTCTGGCGTCGTTGTCTTAAACAAATTAGTACGTGCTGCCTTAATGCTTTTGCCTAAAATCACATGATGTGCTGCAGCGATAAGAAAAAAGCGTGCTGTGCGAAAAAAAAGGAAAAGTTTGTCTTGATACGTTTTAGCTTTCACTCTGTCTCTCTCTCACACAATCTCTTTCTTGTTGCGTCTATCATTTTTGGTCTTATCAAAACTTATCAGCTCGACCTTAAAATCGCTACGAAATTTTTCATTACCAAGCATGTGTCGGTGTTGTTGTTGTTGTTGTCATTATTGTTTTAGCTATCAGGTGGCTTGGCTTCTTTGTGTTTGAATGTGGTCTATGATGGGATTTTTAAATAACAACCATAAAAATGGCAACTGACTCCAAAGTGGCGAGCACTTGAGCTTTGCACTTTTCAACGCATGCGCTCAGCGATTAGCAGGCAAATGAGTGGAATGTGTCGGGCAGGCGGCCGGACGAAGGCGATTTAGCGTGTTGGCCATAAATTCTATGGTGGGAATCGACAACAACAGCAAAACAAAAATGTAGCAAATTTTTCACTTATGTAACGCTCAATTGTAGTTTGTTTGTGTGTGTCTTGCCCAAAAAACAAAATCAACTGCTGTTAGCTGTCAAAGGCCTGTTAACGCTTCCTCTGTCTCTGCCGCTCTCCTCTGCTTCTGTCTTTTCACACACACGGAAAAAAGGCGCCCCATTATGTTCTGCCTGATGTTACGTAAGCATCAGATATCGTGACGTATTAGCGGACTGATGATAAAATATTTCGCGTTTACCAGCAAATTACGTCAAAGGTTGTTGCTTTTGTTTTCTCTCTTCCTCTCACTCTTTTGAGAGTCGTTAGTTAGCAGTGTTTAAATTGTTGTTGTTCTTGCATGAATATTTTTAGTTGGCATTTTGACTGGCCCATAAAACTTTCAGCAAAAACTCTGCTTTGGCGAAAAACTAGAAAACAACCGAATGATTACATCCTAATATAGTATATACACATTTATTTTTAGAATTAAAGATTTAAAAAAAAAACGCAAAAAACATACAAAAACAAAATGTAGCAACAACAGAAACAACCCCCAAAGCCGCCCCACACGTCAGAGCGTGTTTTGGCGCGCAGCCAAAAAGCAGCAACAACAGTGACAAATGTGTAACAGTCAAAAACAAAATATTGGCAACAGCTAGCTAGCAAAAGAATTATTCAATTATTATGCACAGAGAAAAATATGTACATGTTACACATAGTTTTTGTTTTTTACGCTAAGTAAAAACACACACGTAAGCCGGCGGTCATGCATACAAAACACACCCTAAAAAAGAACACACATCCATCTATCCACACACACACACACACACAGCAAAGCTTTCAAAAGGAGGCTCGTCCTGCTTTGCCGTTGTTGTAGTCGTTATGGTTGCTGCTGTGACTGCGAGTGCGAATGTGGATACAGAGGTAGCCCAGCATTATTGATTTTTCAATTGAAAACTTTTGTCGTGCAGATTTTAACCGTTACATAAGCACCCCCACTCTCACTCTCTCATGCACACATACATATGTATATTCACTTGCATACAGAGATACATTCACTTATACGTGGCAAATATTTTGTAATAAGTAAGACGTTTTTCGCCTTCTTTAAGGTCATTCGACGGACGGCAGATGAGATGGCACCTCACACACATATTCACATATAAACACTTTTTGTTTTTGGCAACGCTAACCACCCACTCACTCTCAATGGCCAAAGAAAAATAACAACACTAATAACACGTGACACGATTTGGAAATGGAACAAGTGTCGAAAGGCAAAAAGGAGCGCGAGAGAGCAAGAGCACGAAAAATATTTTGCTACCTGCACTGCTGCCGGCGGTCTTCTCTGTTACGAACAGAGTGCCAGCTTCATTACTGTTGTAAATATTACAAGAACCTTGGTTATGGAAATTTCCTAAACATTAAAAAACACGTGCTATTAAAAAACTGCCGAAATACCAGTTAGTTCATTAAACCTTTTTCTCTCATTCTGTTCGCCTCCTCTGAGTTGTTCATGCTGCTACTGCTGCAGTGGTGATCTGCTTCTGAAACTGTTGGTTGGGGCGTTTATTTTTAAAAATTTGCTTGGCCAAAATAGCATCGCAAAAATTTGCTGCGATTATGTAATGTACATTGGTTTGGTTAGCCGGAAAATTGGCACGTAGCACTATTAGATAAAAGGATTACAGCAAAGTGCGGCAAAAAAAAAAAAGAATTGAATCAAAAATACCGTTCACTTATCAGTTAGCAATGCGTAATGAAATAAAGTCGGTACATACATACATACATACTCATAATCATGTATGTATGTGTATATGTAGAATGAAATGTGCTGAGTATGTTTTAATCGCAAAGCACATGCTTGTCATAATTCGGGTGTGGGTTTTTAGCCCTGCCTTACCCACACTCTTTTACACTCATATACATATATACATACATCTATACAAATACGCACAGTTAAGACGACACGTTTGGGCAACGTGTTAAGTTTGCAAGCTAAGCTTAAGTCGTACCGCCACGCTGTGCCCTTACATTCAAACCAATAATCGTAGTGAGTGAAATTTTGGGCGCCTTTTTTTATTTTGTTGCTAAGGCGACCTAAACTGTTTGAATGCTAAAACTCACCTGTGCCTCGACCAATTTACGTGCGGAAATGCGATAGATCGACATGGTTTATGTTAAATTATTGTTATGGAAAAGATATTTCACACTATGAACACACACACGCACAGAAAAAAATTGGTTTCCCCCCTCTGAAGTGAAGAAGAATTTGGAAATGTTCTTTTTTCTTAGTAGAGTAGCGTTGATGAGCGAAAAACAAAATTTTCCTCTCCTACAGCACTTCTTTCACGACAGCAGCTGCGCGGCAACTGAATGGCTTGCAATACGAGTACGTTGGATTCAGCCTCTGGCTGGGCCAGGCCAGGCAACATCGTAAAAAGAGAAAAGGTATCGCATTAATGGCCGCAGCTGGTTTATTCTCACCGAGCAGGTGACGTCATAATGCCATGTAAGAATGAGTGCGATAAATTAACCTGCTCTGGCTGATTTTGATTTTCAATCAAAAAATGAAGTCGAACTCTTGTTTATAGATGCTCCATAAAAATGATGCAGTGTGACCAAACCTACTTCGCAAAATACGCTTAAACTATTTAAAATTTGAAAAAAAAGTCAACCCAAAAGGTTGATTTATTTGCGGAAAATAGTTCGGATACCTTACTAGATATCCCGGCCAATTTGCCAAATCAGTTGTAGGAAAACAGCTGTATTGTGAATTAACACCAACGCGTATTATGACGTCATATGAAGAGAATGCCATAAGTTGTAGCTTCTCTGTACCATTCCAAGCCAGACAGCGGCAAAGCAGAAGGGGGGACTATATTATTTGTTGGTGGAGCAGCATTGCGCGTTCAAGTGCTGCCAATATGGCTCAAATATTTGGGTTAGCGGATGCGATCTTTGTGATCCAAAGATTTGTCTTCGTTATCTAGCATTTATGAAAATATATGCATGTTTGTTATTTTCATGTATACATAAATAAATTCAACATGGCTTATGGATGTTGCTTAAAATGGGAGTGAACAGAAATGAGGGACGATATGTTGTATAGCAGCGACCTTTTTAATGCGCACACGTCCATGGCAACAGTTTTTTTAAAAGCACCTTCCCACAAAATTTGCGATTTATACTTTCCCATTGTATGTACAACATTTATAATTGGTTGATAAAATAATCTCACCGGCTCCACTGATATTTGTTCTTTTGTTGACTGTTGCTGTGGTTCGACAGCTGCGGCCGTCTCTGGAGACTTTTTGGAACGCAAATGCTGGAAAAAGAATGGCGGTGTCTTGCCTTTGGTGCAGTACTTTTTTATGTTTGAGCACAAAAAATTTATTTGGTATTGCTTATTAGTGCGCAAAAGACGCGAAAAGGACATTTTCAAAAATGTACAACTCACAAAAAAATTAAAATCAAAAACGAACGCCGGAAAAATTCACTTGTGCGAGCAAAAGACAGAACGGAAAGAGGCGGAACTACAAGTGACAGCTGGGATACTGCTTTGCACTGCTTTAATGCGACAGAAGCAAGTGGGCAGTCAAAGTATTTCCAGTCGGTTGGCCGGCCTTTGTGTGTTATGCAAAACGCGTCGTAAATTTTTTGACAGACAAATTTATCTATTTTCGACGACGATTTTCAGCTGAGCGTATGTAAATAACATTAAGTTCAGGTGGGGCAGCATTCCCTATTGATATCACATTTGTTTCAGCAGCCAAAATGGCAACGGCCTTGCCTCATGTGCCCCCAAAGCAGGACATGCCACCACCAGGTGGCTATAAGAAGATTCCCTATCTGCGTGTGCCGCCCAAGAGTTACTTTACCGGTGAGTGGGTGTGCGCCAGCATTTTTGTGTAATCCACATTCGAGACTAATGAAGGTAATCTGCAGGCTTCCAAATGATCGCCGGCTACGTAGTCGTCACCACTGTCGGCCTAGGCATCTACTACCTGACGGCCAAGAAGGTCAAGCGGGACGAGATCGAAATGCGCTCGGCCCAGAATGTCATCTTTCCGATACTCATTGCTGAGCGCGATCGTGAGTTCCTGCGCCAATTGCGTCGCAATCGTGACGAGGAAGCTGAGCTCATGAAGAACGTGCCCGGATGGGAGGTGAGAATTTCACGTGAACTCTCAATAATTACGTGGAATCAATTTTTGATTTCGCCTTAGGTTGGCACCTGGTACGGCGAGCCCGTCTTCAAAACCCTGCCGGAGGACACGCTGGTCACGCCTATTTTCAAGGAGTTCTACGCCCATACCGATTGGAAATCTTACGCCAAGCGCGCACACTTGAAGCTCTGGTCATAAGCCTCCGGGTCCATAGACCAAACATCTTATACGCTATCTAGATAATACACATTGTGAGCCTTTTTTTGTTTTTTGTTTATAGATTCGATTGATTATTGAATTACATAAAATGCAACACGCATTGGCCGAGAAGGAAAACAACTTCAATTTATGTTTACTTTAATTATCAGGCACATGAATTTGGTTTTATTCTGCTATCTATTGCTGTAAAGAGAGCTTTACGAAAAATTGAGATAGTACTTGCATGATACTCAAGGGAAGCATCGAGTTTAATATTAAACGTTCGTTGCCTTCGTTCTAAAAATGAAATGTTAATCTACTTAAAATCGAAATTCCTATCATGGCATCAAGATACTGAGAGTTTAAGCGGAATCGGCCGTCTATACACGTATATAGAAACTTGCCTTACCCCAAAATGAGTTTTGTTTTTCAAGAAATTCCATCTCTCTACATCTCTTTGTATTAATTGTTGTTGTTTTTTTATAATGAACTTTAATTTTCAAATATTTTTCATTTTAAAAGCTACTTATATATTAATATATATGTTCAAACTGTTTTTTTGAATATGTCGTATTCAATTTTTGTCTTAAGAAATACTAATATAATGCAAAGTTGAAACTTGTAACTGATTGCTCCGATGTCAGTTACCAACATTTTCCAAACATATAGTATGTTAAAAACTGAACCGTCATTGTTACAAAATTTCACGACCCACCAATATGAATGAAAGACAAAAATTGTTGAGCCTGGAGGGCATTACATTTTGGCTTTTATTTTAATTTTAACATCATTTTAATTCCGAGCTTAATTAACCTCATCATTATTGTGATAGAAATTATGGTTATGTGTTATATTTATTACATCGCTATTAGTTAATATACATTGACCGCCCTGCCATCAATTGACATTTGTATACACTACAAATGTTTCTCTATCCTATCACTTCTTCTCTCCTTCTCCTACCACAATGATCATCGTTCGTAACAAAATTCCTAACATATTCCTACAGCGCAGGGATTTCAAAAAAAAAAGAAAGAATAATAGCAGCAAGAGCAGTTTTCATAATTTTTTATACGTACAATGTATAGATCTCCTTCGGTGTACAATGTGTTTGAATATAAAGATTTTTCTAAGCATTGCTTCGTCGCAATGTTTAATATTTCCAAAATTATCTGTCGTAGAATTGGAATTGTCGTTTTCTTTTTTTTGTAAGCGTCTTGCGAATTGTTCTACAAGGTATTACGTGAGTGCGATACATTTGTGTGAGGGTGTTTGTGTGGACGTCTGTCTGTTCGTGTGTATTGTTACTTCCATTCTATAGCTTTCCTTTTATACATAAATGTTTGTTGGCGTGTGTGTGTGTGTGGTGTGAACATTAAGTGTTCATTTAGAGATTAATAAAAAAAAGGGGCTTAGTGGTTTTCTTGGTGTTCATAAACATCCTCCTCCACAACTTCGACCTCATCACTCTGCTCCTCCTTGATGACAACGCAACGAAACGGCATCGTTTGCAACGTCAGGAATTCGTTAGAAGCATCTGGTGCGCTGGCCTGTTCGTCTTCCTCCAGGTGCTCCACCAAGTCCTCGTCATAGCACTCGACGTAGGACTCTTCGGCCAGTTCCCGCCTCTCGTATTTCTTTCGTCGCCGCCAGTTGCCGTCACGTTGCAGTCGCCTCTACTTCATGTCACGACGACGCTTGATACTGCCATCGCAGGTGGGGAGATGGCGCTGTAGAAATCCCTCAAAGACGAATTTGCGGCCGCAGCGTTCGCAGCTGAACTCGCGCTTCTCCTCAATCTGCTGCTTGTGGCGGCGCAGAGCCTCTGCATTCGAATACTTGTCGCGACAGGCGTCGCAGGCATAGCGGCGCTTTACTTGGCCGACGTCAAAAACGACAGTAAAGTTCTGGGAGCAGAAGGAGCAGTTGAACTCTTTAACTACGACCTTCTTGCCGCCGTGCTGTGCGGCCAAAGCTTCTGCCTCGGCCTCGAGCTTGTCCTGGTGCTTGTGCGCGTCCATATGGGCGTTGTACTTGCTCTCGTCAACAAACTTGCGGTAGCAGCGGGTGCAACGGAAGGGCTGTTCCCCAGTGTGGCGCATCATGTGCTCCTTAAGGTAGGCGACTGAGTTGAATACCTTGCTACACACCTTACATTTTCGATCCTCGGTGGGCACTTCGCTGCGTTGGCGCATGCAAGCGCGCATATGGAGCTTGAGGGAGCCAGCGGCACTGTAGCAATTGCCGCAGTTGGGGCAATAGAAGGTCTTGCTGCGGGACTGGGCATCGTGTTCGGGGCTGTTGTCGAGGTTGTGCTCATATGTGGTCGAATTCACATCATCCTCGTCCACTTCGCCTTCGACGGCTATTATTTCGTCGTCATCTTGCTCGATTTCCTCCTCATCCACCACCTCCTCATCCTCGTCGTCCTGCAAACTGGGTACAATATGCAATATTGTGTGTGTGCCATCGCCCTGCTCAATGGTCTCGACTTCTTCGACGGTGCTGTTCTCGACCAGCTGCTGCAGTGTAACCGGATGCCCGTTCTCATCAATAATAACCTCTTGCGAGTTGACCAGCGCTTCGTGCTCGCGATCGGTTAGTGTAACCACAGCAGTCTCGGTATCATCGTCCTCAGTGGTGTAAGTGTAGCTATATTGTGTCTCGCCACCACCGTCGACCTCTTCCGGATCGTGTTGTATGATAACGGGCACAATCTCTTCCTTGACGACGGCAGGGCTCGAGCTCGATACCGTGTACTTAATGCGTTTGGAATTCATTGCACTTTACTCGGTTTGCCACAATTATGCTTAACTGTTGGAATAGGCGCGCGCGCGACCAAAACTTTACACAGATTTTTCTTCTCCGAATTCTTTGTCGTTTTTTGCTTGCCAGTGGCGTGGCGTCAGCGCCTCCTCCAAACAGCACTGTACGTGTGCGTGTGTCAGTCGTCTGTCTGTGTTAGTGCAGTTTTTTCTTAAATTCGGTTAAACTGATTGCGCTTTTACTATAAACATAAAGACTTGAAGAATAATATTATTGGCGCATTTGAATATTCTTACAATAGTCAACACTCTTTCATCGGCTTCTTTGCCACCAAGTTAGGATTTTTTCCTCTTCAATACGTGCTTCTTCTTCTCTTCTGACTTTAAGAGTTGCCACGTGCGAGGAAACGTTCAATGGCGCTGCCACTCCATTTTATTGTGAATGGCGAGCCACAATATCTCCTGTTATAATAAGGAGGTGCCGAACTTTAATATGGCGCTCTCACAAGAGATATTAATGTGACGTCGATAAGAGTTAAATTGCTTTTTATTTAGTATGAGCTGAAAATAAATTTTTTTATTGTTTCCAGAATAATAAAATTTACTTACTGTAAATTTGGTATAAATAAAATTGTATATTACAATCAAATTATTTACATGAAGTAAACAGTTTAAAAATACACTACTTTTCATATCACAACTGTCGGATAACTAAATTTCGGTCGAAAATGAACAAAGTAATATGTACTACTCGTAAGAAATAAACCCAAATTGTTATAAATTATGCCATTTTAATTGAAATTGCAATCCATCTCATAGTAAAAGAATAGAAATTAAGTTGGTATGACGTATATATTCAGAGAGAGTTAAACATTTTTGCCAAAGTAATTGCGTCACATTTTATTATGCAAAATGATGACTCAAATTTTATACATTTTGTAGTGTTGAAAAATGCCGGAATGGAAATGTCGCCACTGTGGGATAGAAATGCCGCGCTCTGATGCTAGCAAAGCGAAGCCGCCAAACGCCAATTACATGATGAATTTATTTACATATGTTGGCCGAGACCAAAATTACTTTCCAATAAAAATAAATTGTTGTATCTTCTTAATTTAAAAATTCATTTCCTTCCGTTCATATGTATATATATGAAGTTTGCGTTCTGGGACGTTATTCAAAATATGTATTAAATGTGTATGTACTACAATACACATTAATAAAAATTAATGAATACATACATTAATATAGAAATTATAAAGGGTGTGGGGCAATTTTTGGCAACAGCAGATCTTCCAAAGACATGGCAAAGATAATAATTTGAATTTACCACTAGTATGAGCATTATATATATAGTTTCGGTATATGATGTATGTAAACATCTAATTGTGATTGCATTTCAATAAAACAGTAGTAACCGCCTTATCAAACACACTAAATCCTAATTAAAATATAGTAACAGCGCGGGCAACTAGAAGCTGATATTTTTCAGCACTGGCTAAGGTTAGTCGTGGCAACTTCCTTTAAAAATGCGGCTGCCGTAGTTATGCATCAATATAATTTTTGTAATATTTTGCAGCACTGCAAAATGCAATGAAAAGTTAAAATATATGTACTATACGAAAATAATCAAGAAATAAAACAATGGAGTACAAGATGTCAGAATAAATTACCACAGAATATAAACTATCTGTCTTGGCATGTTCGAAACGCATTAAGCCTAAATTATTTCCATTTCAAACGGACGCGCCAATTTAAATAGGGACGAGCTGCAATTCAGCGCCTGATTTATTCCCAATTATCGATAACATGCAGATATTAATCGATTATTGAACTTCACTGTTTCTCATCGTCTATCATCCAACCATCTGTGAGCAGACGTCACATCTGCTAAGCCAATAAAGAAGATACACAGTGATTTAACACTAATAATGGAAACGCAATTGGATAAGGTGTTGACCGAATGGTGAGTAGGGGCAGAGTCATGGTCTGCACCTCCACTAAATGTTTCTTCCAGTCTAGTACAGCAGGACACGGTGGGAGCACTAGTTGCCAATCCTCAGGGCCTGTGCTTGGGCGGTGAGTGCAAGGCCGCTTTGTAGAAAATGCAGATTCATTTACAACAGAGATACTCTTTGTTTGTTTTTATCGGCTCCTCAGCAAAAGGCATCATCAACCCCAATGTATCCGGAATAGGCATGGCAATATCTGAGCAAGTTGCTAAGTTGGAGCCGGAGAATAATGCACCTGCGACCATTTGCCTGTACAGTGGTAATAAGTAAGTAGAAAGTTACAGAGCTTAAGGCAATAAGTGTAATAATTTAATCATCAGGCGATGCATCATTCAGAAGGATGGTGAGATAACGGGCATTATTTACAAGCATGCTACCGAGTCATCCAATAATTAATAGTGGTGGTAGGAGAGGAGCAGGAGTCACAGTCGTAGCCACAAGTCTTCCATTTGAGCTCGTTGCACTGCTGTGGACAGACACCATCTCCATGCTGGCTGTTAAAATTGCGCTGCTTTTAGCGCTATCTGTGTATTGTTACAGTTTATTTGTTTTCAATTTGCTTTTTCTCTCTGTTCATTTTTTTTGTATTTGTTAGGATCGTAAGAACAAACAATATTATTATACGCCATGTACTACAGTTAAGCCTATATACATACACTTATATTATTAAGCCTAAAAGTGATCAAACAAGATGAATTATAATAGCATAGAAAAAACACAAAACAATGAGTCTTCTGAAACATGAATGTGTGAGTGAGATGGAGATATTTCATAATCCGAATGCATTATCTATAAACCCAGTCAACTAAGTGGCAACAAAGGTCTTCTGAACTTATTTTTCTGTATTTTTGCAGCTCCGTTGCCTTCCTGGCTAATCAATTTTGGTTGCCGTGCATAGGATATTGAAATTGAAGTCAGTTATAGGCATGTTCAGTGTTGAATGTTTTTCCATTATCTCTAACTTTGAATTTTTTTCTTTGTTGTCAGACGGTACCGAAGCAATATTATATTTACTTAAGTGCAAAAGTATTGCTCTATTTATTTATAAGTTTATTTATAAATTTCTTTATTGAGAAAGTGCACATTTTCTCATTTCTCTGCTAGTTTGGTAGCACTAGTAGTACATTCTTTGACAACAATTTAATATTAATTTTGTGATTTGAAGGTGTTTTTTCGACCCCTTGATTTCACCTCTACAATAGATGTTCTATATCTACATATTCTGAAAACTTATGATCATATTTGGGGCAATATATGTATGTATAAGTATTATATTAAATGTTTCCTCTACAAGTCAATCAAGTTACTTTATTAATTGTTGTAAAGAGCATTAGAACGTGACATGACCGAAAAGTACATATGTATATATTTTCTACATACATATGTACATAGTCTTATTCATGAAACGAACTACGTTTGAATCTGTTAGTAAAGCTAGGTCGCTCGAAATAGCACCGATTTATTGTTGTTATTGATTTATTATTTGACTACGAGGTTACAATACGTAACCCCCAAGCACCGCAGCTTCTCATGCAGTTGCAAGTTCAATTTCCAAAATCTAAGGTTTTATACATATAGTATTTTAAAATGGACTCATTAAATGGATGTGGGCAGCTTTGTTCATGTATTCAGCAACTTATTTGCGACATTGCACTCTGAGTTTTCCAGAACATTGCCGCAGCAGGACCAGTGCCGACGACCCGGATGTCCTGCATGTCCATGTCCACAACCGCTGTAGCCCGGCATGCGGCCCTCGCAAGAGCATTTGACGATTTTGTTCCCTTTACCCGAGCAGAAGGCACAGCAGTGATAAATTCCGCTATGGGGCCTTACCTGGCGTGCCTGAAATGTGAAAGGACTGCCCTTGATGGGCTTCTCGTTGATGGTTACGGTCAATATAAGGGTTCCTTGAGCGTCAGGCGTGAACGATATGCTATATGTGCCATCGCGATGGTCAGAAACCTGCAAAATGTTGAGGGCTTAACTTCACAACCGATCATTAATCTTGTATACACGTGTACCCCTACCTCAATGGGTAAAAATTTTGTACTCGCATCCTTGTACTTAATCATGCATTGAATCTGAAGGCCACCATGGCATAGGGAGACGCCATCTCCGTCCCGCGAGAGCATCAGTAGGTCCACCTTCTTGTGAAGTCGTAGCTGCGAGAAGCCTGTGAAAAGCAAAAAGTTTAAGTAATGTGAAGTATCGTCACAAAATAAAAAGGCGCTACAAACCCTCCCATTGCAATGTGCAGAGTGACGGTTCGACTGTCTGCATCGTGATAATGCCGTAAAGGGGTATATCGTTCTGATCCTTTGTAGATGGCGCCCGTATTTTTGACAAGAAGTGTAGCGAATCTGAGATCTGTAATGGCTTGGTCAGAATCTAAGTCCTTCCCAGCTAATCTTGGATACAAACCTTGGAATCGACTGGCGTTTTAAATTGCTGGCAATACTCGAAACGCTTCAGCAATATGCTTAGGAAACTCAGTATCTCAACATCTGCGCCTATATCGCATAGCTCCTGACTAAAGCGCACGGCATCCAGGGCCTCCTGTGTGCGTTTCTCTGGAAAGAGCTACAGTTAAACCTCTGAAGCGAATAGAGCGTTCTCCTGACTTGCCCAAATCTATCTGCTGCTCCAGTATCATCTCTACCTTGGATTCTCTAGCACGCTGCACCTGCGCCAACAATGTTCGCCGGTGGGCATCAACCGCATCAAAGTATTTCTGCATATAGGTCTCCACCTGCCCTTGGATCTCGTCACATCGCCGATTGACGCTCCTGGCTATCTCGTTGAGCCGCTCAATAGAATGCTCCGCGTAGTTGCATAGTGGACGCGTCTGCTCGGCCGCATCCCGCAACATCTTGCCGTGCTGACCAATAGCTTTGGCGACCGTCTCGTGCTTATGACCCTTGTGGAGCAGTACCAGACAGTCCGGACAGGCCAGCTGGCGGCATGTGATGCAGAAGGACTTCAAAATACTCTGGTGCAGACCGCACTTCAGCACCATCTTGCTGTTGTCGCCCAGCCCCAGCTGCTGTTGCTTCTGCTTGCGTGCCCGACGCAGCTCCATGATGTTCTTCATCCGGTGGCTGGCCGTGCTCCGCTGCCGCTCGTGTGCCTCTTTGCACAACGTGCACAGATTTAGCGTGCAGGTGATGCAGTGGTAAATAGCCTGGAATTATTACAAGTATATATTAATCAGTCAGTCTTAACATTTGATTGGAGAGTTGGAGGTAAAAGAGAGGAAGGCCCTATCTGATCCCAAACTCATGACATCTACTCTCTACTTAATTAACATGACGGACAAAGCTGTTCCAAACCCTAACACGTTTGAGAAGCCCATAAAGGGGTATTCTATTCGTCATAAGTTTCGGACAGAATCTTTTAATCTATCTCAAACGTTAAAGCTGTTATTGGATTAGGTAGCTAGAAAAGCCCTTTCCATTAGCGTTAGCACAACTCATCTTGACTCTTTGAAATGGTATAGGGGTGGTCTAAAAAAGGTTTTGATGCAAGGCTAACGTCTTTGCAAAAGGGTTACGAGTTCGGCAAATACGGGTATTCATTTGGGGATGGCACCTACGCTGGTTTCCTCGCTGCATAGGGAGCACCACACACGTGATATCACATCCTCACCGGCCTGGAGACGCAGCACTTCAATCTTGCGAATCAACATATAGTTCTGGGGCAGCTGCCTCACCCCACCCACAGGCAGCTCTGTGGTGAACTTGCAACTGTGGCAGTTAATGAAGCGTCGATCACAAATAAAACTGGCATTCAGGCGTGTATTGGAGGAGCACACGGAGCTCTTCGACTGTGAATGATAGCAGATTAGATGTGGAACTTAGTTGAATGGCATTATGGCAGCACACCTTGACTTGTATGCGGTCCATAGACTTTTTGCGCCGCAGGCTAAAACTGGCACCTCGTTGTCGTGCGGGCGAGACTGTGGCTAGCTCGTTGTTGGAGCCAGCGGGCAGGGACATTTCCGGTGTAGAGCAGCGCAGACTGTAGGTCGATCGATTGGTGCCATTCCAGTCATCGGTGGCGTCCAAAGAGGGCGCCGCTGCGGCGTCCTGCTTAAAGTTTTCATCGGCGAGGCATTGAAAGCAAAACGAGTGCAAGCAGTTAAGCGTGCGTGGATCTGTGAACACGTCAAGGCATATGCCACACTTAAGGTCCTCGGGGAAGCTGAGCACTGTCTCGGGCGTGGGTGTGGCGCGTAACGTAATGCTAGGCGATGGTGAAGGCGAGGGCGAGCGACTTCTGTAAATTATTTCAAACTGTTAATTATGCTAAGGCTAGCTAAAGATTTATGCGACTAAGAGTGCTCTAAGGCCTAAGGTCTGTGGTCTAAGGAAGCATATATAGTATTGTAAAGAGGGTTCACTTAGCTTTCTTGGTTAAATTATTTGTTCGCATTCACCGATCAAAATTATTAAAAACAAAATCGTCCAAATATTGGCACTACTCGTATCTCTTAAGTCTAGCCTTTTATTGTAGATTAGAGACGTGTCTTGTCTTAAAGGATATGATGTTTCGGTAAACCTGTTGTGCTGCCTGGGTATTTTTAAGCTATACCAACCAGTGGCTAGAATTTGTAAATTATGTTGTTCAAGCAGAAATTGTCCCAATTACGAATGTTTTGGGAAGATGTAAGTGCTAGTAGCTTCTTCGTTTTAGTTGTTTACAGTTTTTCTGGCTTCACTCAAACCACTGCTGAACAGTTTTTTTGCTCTGAGGGCCAAATGTATAATCGAGACTACCCCCTAGAGGGTTGAGAGCCTAACCGCTATTACCTTCTCAGGCATACAGACAAGAGTGAGATGAAGCTTACCTATCATAGATGTCATGGAGAGATGTCGTTGGATTTGTGTTCTCTTCGACACCACGCGATTGCAACGTCTCCTCCACGTTCGTCTGACAGTCTGGTGTTGGCGGGGAGACACGCACCTCGGGCGATGATTTTAGGGTCAACAGGCGATTAGTGTACATTTGCAGGTGGTTCGTGTTCGTGTTCGTAGTCGCAGCTAGGGCGATGGTTGCGTCGCTGTTGCTTCCGTTGCTGCTGCTCTGCACCGAAACCGAGGAGGCCGCACTCAGTACGTTGTCCAGAAGTGATTCCGGAGAGGTTGAGCCTCCTACAGTGCTGCTGGGCTGTGAGTTTGATTCGCTATTGCTATCGGCAATGAACGCATGCTGGCCGTCTTCCAACTTGTTGTAAACTTCCGCCAACACCACTGTGTTGGTGGGAAGCGGGGGAGCTGGTGGGGGCAGGTCGATGCAAACGCTGCTCTTCGGCTTACCGATGAGCCGTGATGTTGTCGATGAAAGTACAATTGGCGCTGATTTTCGACGCGTGACCTCAACTCTGGACTCGATGGGTTCGAGTCGGCTTCGTTGGCTTTTCTTCAGCGTGATTTTGTCGGCAGTCAGCTTGAGCACCAACTTACCTTTGCCGTTACCATTGATCCCATTCAGCGGAAGTCGTGGAGACGGTATTCCTGGCCTTAACTCAGTGTTGGTCTGACTCTTGATAAGCTCATAATCGATTTGGTAGCACTTCGAGGCAGGTTGGGGCTGCACAGCTTTGGAGAAGGTGGACAAGTTGGACTTGCAATTGAAATTTGTTTTGCCCCCAATGTTGTTGCTTTTGCTCATTGTATGACGTATTTAATAGGCTCGTTTAAAACTAGGTTTCGCATTTGTCCAGTGAGATTTTTGTGATGTTTGTTTCTCCGTGCCACTCGACTGTTGCGGGTTCGGCTCGCAACTGCCAGGTGTTGTGCATTTGCTGGCACCAGACGCCACTTGCCACATGCCATATGCCGCATGCCGCATGCTTAATCTAATTAAATGCGAAAGGTGGACAATGCCGAATGTGCAATTGTTATGCCATTTGTGGCAGCCTTTTCGCCACCCTCCTTATTCCATATGTAATGTTGCTTGGCAATACATTGACATTTTTCCACAGAACTATCAATCTCAGGGCATACATGAAGTGTGCTTCACTCATTCGTCATTGCCAATTGAAAGCAGCAAGAATGCTACAGTCGGGTTAAGGCGCATTCGGTATACCCTGCTCCCACCCACACTCAGAAGAATTGTCTAGAAATTCGCGTTTAATTTTAGAAATATGTTATTTGAGGAAATAGCCCTACTTTTTTATGATTCAGGAATCGCCAAAAACCTTTCACAAATTATAGCGAATTAAAACGACTCGTCTTATCATGCTGATCAAGAATATATATACTTTGTAGCCCCACAAACACTTCGCCTCCATCCTTTCACCAATTGTTTATAAGGTATACAAATAATATTTGTTTTTGGGTGGAAACTTTCTCAATTGCCCTAAGTTGTATCTAAAGGGCGATTCTTTTCTATTTCGATTTTCTAAATAAAATTGTCTGTATAAAAACATTATTTTTAGAATCGATTGAAGCAGCAACAAAAATTGGGCAGCTTAGCTAATCTTTCAATGGCACAGAGTCTAAGAATAGTTCACATTCCTCTTTTCAAAGGAATGACTGCAAGTTGCTTAAATATAAGTCCCCAAGTGGATAGTTTTGTGAATCATGCGCATCATTTAAATGTACTTCTTAATCTTATTACAAGTAGTATCTTCTCTTCGAAGTATTTTCTTTAGTAGATAATTCGGCCCGAGGGCTTAGTTCAAAGGCTGATGGTCTTGCTGGCTGCCATTCATTCACTCTCACAGTGAGTATTTAATCGAGTTGAATACATTTAATTGTGCACATTCGTATTTTATTTTGTTTACCCCCACGTGAATGACAGCAACCATAATAATAAAAATATCAATAACCTTGAACTTTTTACAGCTGCAAGTGTGGTGGGCCCACGTGTGGGTGTAAAAAAGCCAGTCAACTGTCGCCTTGCCCGCAAAAACATATTGAAATTCGGAGCTGATAAAGCACTGAACATACTCGTGGATAAATAAATACATGCGAGTATGTACATATATACGATTATACTTGTGTGTGCAATTCAGGGCCTTCAACTCTTATTTGGGCAATGACTTCTGCCTGGTAAGGGCTATATCTGTCATAAGCGAGTGGTAATACTTATACTGCAGGAGCTTCCAAGATACGAAGGAACTGAAGACGATCTCACATCTACCTGCTTCCATATCCCCACAGTTGTGATTACCGATTAACCTACCTAGCTACATAAAATTGAAACCAAAAAATAACTTATCTCTTAACTTGAGTAAAAGTTTGCACCCCCAAAAAAAGATTACCAATTACTACATATAATGGAACGACAGATCGACATATATTTGATATATATAGTTGTAATTTTCATAGTGACTCAATGCGAAGGATCCTGTTCTTAAAAGAGCTGCCTCTTTTAGTTCCAGATGATTTTATCGTAATATATAGACCCAAATGAAGTTGATTGTAGGGTACTATCAAAGGGTATGCTACATATATTTTCCATCAACCTGATGAGATGAGCTGATTCCTCAAAGCGTATGTCGGTTTTAGTTTAGAATATATTTATTAAACAATGTTGAAATTTGGATTTAGCTGAGAAAGGTGCACAATTTTCTAGGCTCATACGGACAGATAGATAGACAAGGCTAGATCTTGTCATGCTGATCAAGAATATTTACACTTTTTGGAGTCTACTACGCCTCCTTCTATATATTATATTTTTCACTTCCCGTAAATCTTATTTATATCATGTGCCTTTTAGGTAAGAATTAATAAAAGTTAATAAACGAAGAACAATTAAAAAAAGTTGAAACGGAGAATTTTCGATTGGTGGGGGAACATGTATTAACAAGTCCGTAAAGCTCTGCGTCGACTCAAATGTTCTTGAAATGAACGGACATATCAAGTTTATTAATTAAATCAATTAAAATTAAATTAATGTTTATTAAACTGAAATTCGAATGCATATCAATCATTTGCCATGCAAAGAAAGAGTTTCTTCAAAATTTCCTTAAGCAAAAAGCATTAACTGATTTAAGATCGTAGCTTGTTTCGTATATGCATACTATCGATACTATGTAAATATATTTATGCGACAGAGAAGATATGTAATAACTGAAAGAAACCAGCTAGATATGCTAAATAGAAGAGAAGCCGCGAGCGGCCAATTAATGTAATATTATGTTGTAATATTGGGTTATCATGTGAATCATCCATCGCATCGACCCACATACAACAGCATGGTGGAGAGGCAAATCAAACCGCCAAGATCCAGTCCAGTGTGGGCTTATGTCGCGAATCAGGTTTTCAGCTTCGGTGCCTTTCCCTTTCGGCGACAAGAAAAGCGAAAGTGAACCACGAAGCGACATAAAGCGCTGGTGATAGCGCCTATGATGCCAAGTGGCGATTCGTTGCTTCCTCAACATTAACAGAGTTTAATCTGTATACGACACATTTCCGGTTGGGACTTAATCGCATTCTTCGAATTCTTTTTTTTTTCTTGGACATGAGTGACTCATTCAGCGACAGAGTTGAACTAACTTAAGAAAGAATTTATGAATCACATGTCGTTTCAGATTTAAGCTCTGTTCCTATCGGTCTTTCCCGCATGGTATATACTTGTATGTACATACGAGTATACGAGTAGTATGGTTATACCAGTCTACAATTGTAGACATGGGCATTCGCTTCTCAATGAAACAACTGGCATGTGACCGCACGATCTGAGAAGCCAATCGAAAATGAAACTTTTGATGGCCTGTGATTTCTAACACGAATGTGCCAGGCACGAGCTTCTAATGTAAAAGCAGCCAACCCTAATGATGAGCTCAGGCAGGCAGACAGACAAACAGACAGACAGACAGACAGACAGACAGACAGATGGACAGATGGACGGACGGAGGTGTTGTCACCTCTGCTGGCTGTCTCTTTTTGTGATCACGATGCTATAATGTTAGCGATTTTGTAATTTAGCAAAGTGTTGGTAGTAGTCGGCTGCTTGCCTTCGCTTTTGTTTTTGGCCAAAGAAAGCCGTGTGGGACGCACTCGTATAGCCAAAAGATTTTTTCACTTGTGTGTAGATTCGTATTTACGTCACCGTCGCACGGCCAGCAGCATCTTTTACATGCTGTAGGAAATCACTTTCTACTTTCACTACAAAAATAAACAAACAAACGCGCACACACACTCATACTTGTATATACTATGTATATAGTCGAGTGCATTAAGTCTGAATTAGCTGCGGCCTGCTGCAAAAAGTATACATACACACGCGTATATAGAGCACTCTGGCATTTCGGGCCACTTTCGTGCCAAAAAAGAAGGAAGGAAAAAATCTCACTTCAACGTAAAGTAGCAATCATTACTTTCTATATATAGTACACACTCGTATGTATATATATGTATGTATGTATTTGCTTAAGAGGTAAACACATTAAAAAACTCTTAACAATTTTATTGGTCTATTGAGTTTAAGAGCAGGGATTTCCATCGAGCCCCACTGGATTATCAAATGCGGGCTAATGCCCTTTTCTAAGACTTAGTTTTGTGCTTTCGATATACTATACTTTTATTGTAAGTGTATTAAGAAACTGTTCAAATAGAAATAATTTTCCCTTCTCTACTTCCTATATATGATGGGTTTATTCAGCTTACAGATCATCCGTTTCACATTGGATTACAAATGTACTATATGTATGTTTATTATTTTACAGATGTCGAATGAAAAAAACGTATTCAAATAAATATAATCTATGAATCATGTTCCCTTTTAAGCAATAATTGTTTACTTTTAATATAGCTTTTGTATTTGTTTTTAATTTCATTTCGTTTATAAAGCAAATACTTTTTTCGTTGAAGAAATAAATAAATTTGCACTTTCGATCATATTTCGTATGTTTTTAAGGATTACTTAAATGTTTATTTTTATTTATTACTCATAGCAATAATAATTAACAATGAGACTCATTCCTACTTGTACAAATACTGATGTATAATTATTAACCAATGATTATGGTTGTCTGCATCTTTGGAAGCAAATTTTAGATTCCCTGGCATGGTTTGAGAGGAAAAATACTAAAAATTCTTTCTGAACATTAGTGATAGTTATAAACAAATTTTTGTTATCTAAATGAATGTCACTGTGTCAAAGAAGTTCCAATTACAACATAACTAAAGGCCTTTAATCTTTATCATACACATTTTGAATATAAAAGACTTCATCTGAAATATTCGATTTTATAATAAGATTATAAAGAAGTCCTGTAACGCAAGGGTACATTAGGTACTACTTGTATAATATAAATTGGTTGAATATATAAATGAGAAAAAACCCTTTTTTTTACTATATGAAATTGGAGCTTTGAAAATGAAGCCCCTATGTTTTGGAGTCTGGAACGATTAAATCAGTTATCTTCTTCAGTTTCAAAAACTTCATTTTATTTAGTTTCTGGTCAAAATAATTAACTTATTAAGACCCATTATTAAGTTGAAGTTGTTCGAGTTATGGTTCCAGTCACGTTGTCTGGTAATACGCCGTCTATAAGTCTGTTAGCTTTACGTTTGACATTTTTTGTTTGTTGTCTCAGTCTCTGTTTGTCTGAGTATCTGTGCGGACGGTCCAATTGCTTCCTGGTTGGTAAAGATTACGACACCTTTGGGGCTCAAATGTGAAGCAGACCCTCAGCTGTGCACACACACGTACCTCTGAGAAGACATTACAACAGATGTTTTGGAGCTTTAGAGGCGACGCGACGGGTGTACGAGAAGTTACATGCGCACAGGTGGCTGCCGGTGGAGATGCTTTTATTTCTAAATACTTGTATATCTCAATGCCATGGCCATAACTTTGACGGAAATTTGAAGAGTTTCGAGGGTAAAGAAAGAAAATTTGTTGTTAACATAATTGCTAGACGCAAATAAGCGTTGAATTTATTAGCTTGAAAACTTACTTCGACGATATAACGAAATAAATAAAATGTTTGATGTACGATCTATCAAGAGTGAAATGGGAAGGTCCTAAGATACTTTTGTCTGATGGAAGATATCAGGGCTAGATTTTACCAAAACACTCGGCTATGTGCAGAAAAAAACTCCAGTTTTGTTTCAGTGTAATAACACAAAAGATTCGAGGGACTTCTTGCTTCAAATAATGGTATTTCAATTCGGTTGTTGGGCGGAGCCGGAATTTACATCTTGGGAAAACTCTCCCTGTGCCTTTGGTTGAAAATATAATTTGTATTAATAATCTGCAGAAAGTGTTGAGATCAGAATTTGCCATCATCTGTAAGAATCCACTCGTCTTTTGCAAATCAAATCAATCTGTATGGAGATGGAAAAACCTTAAGGACAGGGTTGCCTTCCTCTATTATTTTTGAGGTTTTCCACTCAAGTTTCGTTTATGTCATGATCCCATATACCATTTGTTTCCCCCGGTAAATAATGCCAGTAGTCCGATATTTAAAAGTTTCGACAAATCAATGTTTTATTCTTCGTTTGTATGTTTGTTTCTTTTGAATTTTCTTCAACATTCGCATGACCATCTTCATCAGCATCATCATCATCATCATCATCATCATTTTACTCTCATATGTATGTATGTATATATTGTAAAATTTATATATATGCATGAATATGTATAGTTAACGTGTCACAACAGTGTTAACAGCTAATTACTGCGTCATCTTCAACTAAATCTTGATAGTATAATTGTCGCTTGCTTTAGCTGCTAGGAACATAAGTAAATATTTAAAGTTGTGTTGTGTATTGAATAGCGATAATAATAAGACTACATGGTATGCAAGGTATTATTATTAACGATGCAAATTTGAAAGATATGCAATGCCAACATTATATGTTTCAGAATGCCTTAAGTTGTTATATACATATACTATATAGTACATACATTCATGCCATATCGTATAAACTTATTCTTGCCTAGGCTGCTGGTAGAATGCGCGATGGAGTTCAAGGTAAAAAATTATGCACTTGAAGAAATTTTCAATGAACTTTTTCTGCCAGCTATGCAAAAAAAAGAAGAAGAAAACAATCAAAAATTAACGCAAATTGTTCATTTCAACAATTTGTCTTCTCTATTTTCTATTCTTTTCTCCCTTTGCATTGCATGAATCGCCAAATAAATAATAAAAATAATAATAGCTAAGAAAAAAAAAAACAAATTAAATAAACTAAGTATTTTGCAAAAAAAAAACAAATCTTATATAGTATTACGTGTGTTGTAAAATAGAAATTATGAGATGCTTCATTCGTACTTTTTATCGTGTGCAAAATAAAAATAAAAAAAAAACAGGAAAAGAAAAAACAAAATCATGTTGTGAACGTGCTTTTCAATTTTGAATTCACATTTCGCATTTCTACATATATATTTACGTTTTATGTATTCTTTTGTAAGCTATTTGTATAATATTTTTTTGTTTGTTTGTTGTTTTTGTTGTTGTCGTCGTTGATTAAGTGCTTCCATCTTATACAGTTCATTTTCGGTTGTATATGTGAGAAAGTGAAAAAACATCACAGTTAAAACTTCAGTACATTTTTTTTTGTGGTTGCTCGAAAACAAAAAGGAAAACTAATAAAACAAATATATTAATGGTGTGTACCTCCTAGCTAGCATACCATCTATAAATAATTCCGCTTATGAACTACATAAAAATTTTGACTTACAAAAAAAAAAAAAAATAGACACAAAAACGACTTTTGCCATTTCGCTTGCCACTCACGCGTGTTGAGATTAAATACAAAAGCGCAGCACTGGCCACGCCCATAGCTAACAACTACTCGTATGTACTATTGACGGCTACAGTTAGGGATACGTATGAGCTATAATTAGTAACTAGAACGTACGCTTCCTAATCATCTAATCCTAATCCTCCCAGTAGTCGGCATTGAGATCGCGACGCACACGCCATAACATCAGCTCCATGCAGGCTCGTGAGTCCTCGAAGCTGCTGTGCCCCGTTGTCCCGTCGCCGCACTGGATCTCCCGCTTCAGATGCATTTTGGTGAGATGGCGCAGGGCGCGCCGATAGGGGAATCCACTTGAGTGTGGGAACGCTATTGAGGTGTCAATCAGCGTATTGTGTACAATGCGCAACGCCCTCAAATCGTTGTCCAGCCCATGACCAATCAGTATGGTGTCAGCATCGATTAGCTGCAACAGATCGCGTTGCACCTCCGCCAGTGTCTTGACACCCTCCGTGGCCATGTGCTTGGCTGTGATGCCGGAGAAGCGTGTATTATAATCGACAATGTCTGCAACGGGACGCACGAAATGCTCGTACACCAGCTGTCCATTGAGTGCGACCAGAGAGACTTTGGTCACATCCAAGCCACGTCCTGTATACGACATCTCGCAGTCCAATGCATAGACGTTGGTGCCACTGCCACTGCCACTGCTGCCGACACTTCCGTTGCGATGACGCGTATGGACAAAGTCATGATAGGGCCCATTGACACCCACAACTGAGCCCGTCCATACGTGCAGCTCGTGCTTGGAGCAGCCGCCCGCCTCCTCGGTGGCATTGCAACAGGTCCAGCGAGTCAGCCAGCTGCCACCATCGAAATAGCGCTGATACTTGCCCCAATGATAGGTGCACTGCTCCGTGGTTAAATACTGGCCGGTGTGCTCGTCGACGAGAAAGTCACGCTTGCAGCGTGCACACTGTTTGGCCAGAGTCTGTGACTCCGTATACTGGCAATACAGCTCCAGGCTGCCATTGGCCACAATGTTGAATGTGGTGGTCGCATCGTTCATTGTTTGGGCCGATTCGCATTCGCTCCACTCACTGCCCGATTCAGAGTCCAGAGAGCGTGGTGATATGTTGCCCGAGTCCGTGGACGGTTGACTGCTGCCATGCGCTGCTGACTGGCATTCGCCGTCCCCGGCACCGCCCAACAGCAAACCACCGCCCATCTCCTGACTGCTGTACTGAAAGGTGCTCGTATTAAGTCCATCATTGCAATTAATTACGGTGAGTGCCGATTCGGCGACAGCCATGCCGTTGGCGGCCGCAAATGTCATGTGTGGCAGACACTTGAAGATCTCGATGGCGCCCTCATGCACCACGCTCGCGACGGGAAAGCCGTACACGCGCAACAAATGATGGTCGATCAGGTGGCGACGCAATTGATCCACCAATGTCGCATCGTCCATGTTAATGCGCTCGTATTCCCGCAATGGTGCCACCAGAAAATTCGCATTGTGGCACTGGCGATGACGTTGGAGCAGCTGCTCGTTACGACGAAGCTTTCGCGACTGGTGTGCTTGCCAGTCGCCCGAGCAGCTGAGATGTTGCTGCTGCTGCTGCTGGTGGTGGTGATGGTGATGGTGGTGGTGGTGGTGGTGCTGGCCTCCTCCTCTCATTCCTCCGCCGACTCCATGATGGCCGCTTGTGGGTGAACTGTTCGGTGTGGTGTTTGTCGAGCTTATTGCCGATGATGAATTGGCCGAGTCTGAGTTGGCCGAATCGCATTGCTTAACAGCCGTTTGTTTCTTAATGCTGATGCTGTTGTTGTTGTTGTTGCTATTATTGTGTCCATTGCCGCTGCTGTTGTTATTGCTGCTGTTGCTGTTATTGTTGTTATTATTTTGGCGTCTATTGTTGCCGTGCATCTTTGAATCATTGTTGTTGTTGCTATTGCCGTTGCTGTTGCACTGACGCTTCCCATGTTGCTGATGGTTTGTCGATCTAGAAGAGTGTTTTTTGTCATTGCTGTTGCTGCCGCTGCTGCTGCTGTTGTTGTTGCTGTTATTGTTGCTATCTAATTCCTGCTGAGTTTTTAGCTTTGTACCTAACTGCTGATGTTGCTGTTTGCTTGTCTGTTGCTGTTGCTGTTGCTGTTGTTTGTTTGTCGATTGCTGGTGTTGCTGCTGTTGTTGTTGATGGTGTTGTGGGCGCTTGGAGCGTGACCTGTTGCCCTTGGACTTGGGCTTGTTGAGCTGCTCGTTGCTGGAGTTGATATCATCAGTCGCCTCGCTGGAGGTGCTGTTGCGATGCCCACAATTGAGTTGGCCCAGAAATTTGTCTAACATATCAAAGAGAGAGTGAGAGAGAGAGATAGATTTTAGATTAGTTGTTGCTGCGTGTGAATGCTAAATGGCGCTAAATAGTATTTATAACTGACGTCAATTTACGCTACAAATTTGCGCTGATAACCAAAGCACACACACACACACACACACGCTCTAATACCCAGGCACATGCCAAATAATATTCATAATGTATGTATGTATGTATGTATGTATGTATGTATGTATGGCTTATCATTTGAGCGCCATCAGGGCCACGTGCGTTTATACTACGATTCACACACACATACTCGTACATATTGTATACTATATACTTGTATGTATGTGTGCGAGTAATTTATATCAGTAGTTGTATGCCTTGGCAATATGTTTTTAAGCCCGGCCAGTTCTATTCAGTTTAAATCATTTGTATGTATGTGTGTAATACCAACTAATTACCTTTAAACAAAATTTTTGAAGCCACATGCGCTTGTTTGTTTGAAGAATAATAATTAAAAAATAAAAAACAAAAAACAAAGTAAAGAACCTCGCAAGTGACTCAACACCAAATCGTTGCCAATTTATAAACAAATGTTTGGCTAACTATAATTTAAATTGTTCAAGTAAAGACAATGTTCTTATTCCCGTACCTTGTATTATGATTACTAATATTTTATTAAAACAATTTCAATTAAAACCTTAAAGTTTTTATGACTATATTTGTTAAAATTTTAAAAGTGAAAACTATGTTCATTCATTTATTTATCGTTTTGTACTACTAGTATTTTATGGTAAAGTTGAGCCTTGGAATGAGGCCTATTTTTAAATATAGTATGATTTAAATTTAAAAAATTTTATTTCAATGTTTACGTGTTTCCTCTTTCATTTGATTTTATGGAATAGATAATGCGCTAAGCGTTTTAATAAATTTGTCAAACCTGCTTATTCAGTTTTATTTGCTAATTCAATTGACATGTTTATCAGGATATGGCGTGAAATTTGTGTGTAGCTTGTGTAACAATAAGTTCGCACACAAAATACCTTTTTTTTGTGTCTTTTTGGGGCACACCCGCCCTACACTGCCCCTCTACCACCTACCCCCCACCACCATAGCAACAAACACTTGACATGTTTTCCTGATTTCGTTTTCATTTTCGCTTACACGCGCCGCTGTCATTATTTTGCATTTATTAATACTTTTATTAACACTATTATATATTTTCGGTACCGTCGTCGACTTCCGCTCTGTGTCATCAGCTCCATGGCTCATTCGCATAAATTTTCAAAAGCAAGCGAATTACGAGATGCCGCTCAAGTTATTGAAGTAGTATGTTGCCGCCTAGCAAGCAGCTGTGAGCAAGGGGCGTGGTCGTACCGGACCGGACCAGACCGGACCGAGTCGAGTCGAGTCAAGTCGCGCCGAGCCGACTGATAGTCACAACGGCTGCCAAATGCTATTCGTTGCGCAACTCACAATGTTGTGGCTGTGAGTTCGCATAACTATCATCATACTTAGGCTGTTTTCAATACAGTTGCCAGGTAGAGCTGTGAAGACAACTTTGGAGCAGTGCCTCAGACATGCCTACCCATGTCGTTGCCATCTTAAAAACCGGCACGTGACAAATTATACATATTTTGAATAGTTTTGCCAATTCATCGCATCTACTTGTATGTTATGAGATAAGAGACTTGTTTCACAAATTTGTAAACACAGGCTAGGCTAAGTAGTCAAATTATTTTGTACATACTCATATTATCATCAATACAGTTTTCTTTAAATTTACAGCCCGAGACTGATATGCTGCTCTCTTACTTTTCCAATTTATTTTTGAGCATTATAGTATTTCATTTGATTGTTTTATTGGCTTGGTCGACATCAGAAAGAAAACAAACTATACTTTGTAGTTAAGATATGGAAATTCTTAAATGTCGGGCAGCATACGTTTTTTTCCATAATAGTTGGCATTTTTGCGTGGAATTATACTTTAGCGATGATGATAAGGCAATGTACATACTCGAGTCAATGTACTTGAGTTTGTAAGCATGTTGTTGCCAAGTGGAGCGCCTCTGAAAGCGCTTGTCAAATCAAATCGAATCATATTAAATCGATTCAAATCAGCGCATTTCAATTCATTAATATGAAGCCGGCAAAAAAAAAAAAAAAAAATGGCATATAATTATGTAAATATGCATAAGCAGCTAAAGTTTGTTGCCACTTTTGGTGGCTTCTGAAGGACATTTGTGTGTATTCAGAAATTATAATTTTCTATTGTGTACAGAGCGTGGTGGAGCAGCACGTGAGTAGAAACGCTAATAAGTTGCCGGTCAGCTTACAACCAACCAACGAATTAACAATTAAAATACAAAATAAAGTATCCGCATATCAGCATATTACGCATACGCAGTGTATGGCGCGCACAAGCCTTAGAATAATCGGCAATGGTTACGGCTCGTGTTGTCCAATCGGGAAGCGGGCTTACGCTTTCAAATTCTGTTCACACATGTCAAACACGTATCATTACAATAACATATGTATGTACTCGTATATACATACATATGTACATACAAGTGCTTTATTGGAAATCTTCGCTGATAAGATTAACAGCACGCATGATGCTTTTTTGTTTTCAGCAACAACACCAACTACTTGTAGTATGCTGAATACGAATACGAGTACACATGGAGAATATACGCACATTTTCTGAAATCACGCACAGCCTTGAAAATAGTACTAAGTGTACGAATATGTGTGTGTATGTGTGTGTGTGTGCATGTGATTAAGCATTGGCAGCAACATACGAGGTGCGTTTAAAAAGTAAAGTGCAAAACGTATAAAAGGAGAACAAAGTGAAAAACAGCTGATAAGAGCAATATAGAAAGGTAGCCGATGTTTACGATGCTGTTGACAATTATCAATGCGCACATAATTTGGCACAAGCATACAAAAATACTTGTAGATGTACGTTTGTGTGTGTCTCGCCTATACCCGTCTAGTCGTCTACAATAAATAATTGGCAACTAGTGCAAAGTTCTAGATTTCAATTCAAACTAGATCAGCACTAATCAGTCCCCGGAGAAAGAAAGAGGGCACGACAAATCCAGCACAGCTCTTTATCGTAAACATCAACAATGAAATTAGACTCAAAACAGACACTGCGTGAGATCGTAACAAAGATGCTATAGAAATGGCATTTCATTTGCCAGAAAAAGAAACGGAACCCCTGTCACGTAAGAAACACAAAAATGAGTAGAACGTTAAATAAATACTACTACTAGAACCAGCAGCTTAAGATAGCTATCTAAATAAACAAAAAAATGTGACTTTCGCACCCATTAGTGCTATATAAAATGATGAGGTATATGGTTGGTAATAAAGAAGCTTTGCATCTGGATTAGACAGGTCTACTACATACTCGCACAAATTAAGCGTCAAAAGTTCAAAGGTGATTTGTCTTGTCATTATGTATGTGCCCCTATAACAGGAGATCTGCCACGCCTTCTTCTTCCTGTTATATACATTTGACATTCTACGAGACTTCCAATCATTAGCGTATAACGATTCTACATCGTAAATCAGGAAAGGTTCCTCACACTATAATTATTTCTTATGCAGATAGTATTCACAATTTTAAAGTTTCAGAAATAAACTATTAAACCCACCCACAAATGCGCCCCAGCCTTAAAGCACTACACTTACAGCTCAGTTCTTACATGGCTTACATGATTTTGAGTTCGTCTAAGTATTTGGAATAAGAAACATTTTCTGCTTGAGTGCACGCTGTGTGGGTCACTGAAAACCGCAGAGAAAAACAAACGTAGAACAACAACAAAAGCAAAAGCTAGACGTGTCATCAAGGTCGCTCTCGACGGCACAGTCAGTTGGGTGGGGGTGGGGGTGGGGGTGGGGGTTGGGTGTTAGGTACTGGTGGGTAGGTGGGCGGGTAGTAGACAGGCATTGATTACACGGTGACATTGTGTGCACTTCGATGCCTCTTTGCATATTGTTATGAAGCATTTAAAGATCCAAAATATATATACTCGTTCATTTTTTATTTGCTGTCACATTTCGCCCAAAAATTTCGTTTCATCATATTTCCAGTTGAAACTAGCTAACGAAAACCAGTTAATATCTTGAAAGAATCATTTCGAAAGATGAGCCTTTTGTTTCAAACAGTCAGTTTTTTAATTCGAAAATGCATTCTTCCAACCAGGCTGGAAGGGTAATATAACTAAGATATAAGCCGGGAAGGATTGTACAAGTAGATGATTGGCAATTCTTACAGACGAGTATACTCAAGAAGAAGAGCGCTGGCCTCGACATTACCTAATATTTATAATTATGTATTATGTCTATGGATGTTTTCTTTGAGTTTTTTTATTTGGTTCGTGATAATTAAGACAGAGCAGACAGAGAGACATACGCGCATTTAGACGTAGCAACTGGCCTAGATAATAAATGTACGAGTATGTAAAAATATGTACGCAATTTTTTGTTGTTGTCGCCTTTTTTGTATTTTGAGGAAGGCCATGACGACGCTCTATTATTAATAACTGATAACTTCATTTAGTTTTGTTGCCAACTTAGCGTTTGATTATCGGCAATCAGAAACTGGCCGCCAACTCTGTGACGCAATCGCAAAAAATGTGCTATTTTGCAGTGACACGTGCTAAGATCTATTCGTACTTTAAATAAAAAGATACCAAGTGCTCCGAAAGAGACTGACGTGCTCCAAGACTTCCTGTAGTACTCTTCTTAATCGCCCATACTATTTGTAAGTGTAAAATTTGTTGTTGCAATTGTTTCTTTTTTGGGGGGGGGGGGGAAGCTAAAGCCAACATTGCGACAAAAGAAGGTAAAGCAGCCGCCAAGTACTTACTACGTATTAGCACTTATGATGAGCACAGTGTGGACTCAAAGTAAATAATAATAAAAGCAGTAATACAAATTTAAACACCACGGCGACTACGACGAGAGTTAATTGTACTTTGGGTACGTACTCACGTACAGCACTTCCCA